AGCTCCCTCTAGATTTCTCTGCTTTTAGCCCTCACCTGCCAAACCCGCGGCTGCTGTCCTCAGGTCCGTGTTTTCTGCAGTTAACTGAGCAGTGTCTCAAGAGGACAAAACAACACGAGGCTGGCAAAGCTGAGCCAGACGGGGTACGCAGCACAGTGTGACAGGGAACTGCGGCGCCACTATTTATTCTGAGTCAGGAACCAATTTCTTTCCGTGGGTATGAAATGGGTACTATATAAACCCCACTTTGCACACTAGACCTCCTAAAGACACTGGCCGTTTGTTTGGCGCAGTCAAACCAGTCTGAACTCTTCGTTCTCAGCAACATGTTACGAGTGCCCGCAGTATCCAACATATACGGTAACCACGGTCCAGCCTGCACCCAACCGGTGACCCCGCACGCGTGACGCTCACGCGCGGTCGGCCTGGCTCCTTCCAGCTTTCCGGGAAGGCTGAGACGGCCACGGACGACTCTCTCTGGGCTGGATTCCTTCTGTCTGAGCCTCCGCCTCGAACGTCGCGCAGGCGGGGAGGAGGGGGCGGAGCCGGCCCCTGAGGAAGGCTGTGGATTGGAGAGGAGGAGGGCCAGGGGGCGGAGCCTTGGGGGGAAGCGAGCCGCCGCAGCAACCGTGTAAGCAGCTTTGCTTCCTGCCGCAACCGCCAGCGGCTGGAGTGAGCCGACCCTGGGCGGTGGGCCGACTCGGCGGTGGGCCGGGCTGTCGGCGCCGGAGCCTGGTGAGGCGGCGGCTGGGGTGGCGGGAGGCGCAGGTAACGGCGGGGACGAAGGCCGGTGCGGGCCGCGAGCGGGCAAAGCGGAGGCGAACGCTCCGCCGCGGGGGTCCGGAGGCCGGGCTGCGGCGGCGGCTGGGCGCCGGGAGGCCGGGGAGCTGTGCGCTGGACCGGCCGGGTCCTCGGCTGTCCGTCGTCCAGGGAGCGGGCTGTCAGGGAGAGCTTTCCTTGGTGTCCCTCACGCCGGGACACGCTGCGAAGCTGGCTTGTCCTGAATGGATCGGCTGTGGCGTGTGTGAGAGGAAAAGAAAGTTCGTGACCGGTCCGAGGGTTTCAGATGTGCTTCTGTTTCCTTAAAAGCCGGTGTCCGTTGCTACCTCAGGCGATTCCATGCCTGTTTGTATTTCAGAGTTTCTTTGCGGGAAGAAACTTGTTTGATCAGTTAGCGTTGTGTCTCTGCCTGGGATGTTCCCAAGGAAAGGGTGAGGTTGGACCGCAGGGGTACTTGTGGGAGTTTGGGGCCTGTGGTGTCGAGATTCGGGAACAGGAGGAATGCTGGTATTCCGTGGGAAGTTACTGCCGCGCCTCGGATGGGTCTGCGTCTATGTAAATCACCTGTGCGGTACAGCCTAGAGCAGTTAGTATGGCTTTTCACGGGGGAAGACGTTCCCTCTTACGCCTTATGGGTTGCGAAGAACCGTATTTGAATCTCGTTTTCTGGCACTCGAAAGCGCTCAGGTCGGTGTTCTTTCAAAAACGGCGCCGCCTCGTTTGCCTTGGGTTGATGACAGGGATTGCACAGGTGAAGTGTCCTCTGAGAGGGCATGCTAATTTCCTATGTTCTCTCCCCCTCTCCCGCCTTTCTTTCTGAGAAAAGCAGAGACGAACGCCTTGGTTTCACTTTGGTGTCTTGGTGAAACATTGAACGAATGTAGCTTTGACGATGGAAGCTGATATTTCTCATATTTAGCCATCCTGCGTTATTAGATAACTCTTGGAATGTTTTTAAGTGTACTTAGAAGTGTCTGAATGGTGCCTGGGTTTTCTATCTGTTAAATTTTTGATATCGGCTAATTTATTCATCTTTTGATAGCTGATTGACCTTCTGATTGGCTATCAGCATGGGGTTAGGTAGCAGGACCCTGTAGATTAGAAGCCTTGGCATAAAGCCACATGAAATGTGGGGGAAATGTTACAGGGCTTTGGAAAACTAGGTTATTACTCTAGTAATGTGTCAGATAGCTGTTGCTTATACCAACCAGCTATTAAACTGCCAGCGAACAAGGGGGAGAAGACAGATTTTCCAGGACGGGGGTAACAGTTACTAAGATGAACTCTCTTATGTGGTTGTATTACATATATCCGTTTCCACCCAGGGAGGGTATTGGCATGGCAGTTTTATCTGTGTGTATGTCCAAAGCCTGGGACAGCGCTTGTGGACTGGTGCCTTTTCAGGTAACTCCAGGGTGCTTTAGGCAGGTTGCTAATTCTGCTCTCAGGTTACCTGAGCCATCAGAGGCGGTTTGCTGAGGTCCGATGGGTGCCACTGCTGTCACGCTGTCCTTTCTTTCCAGGTCTCTTTGTTTTTTAAACCTTTCTGAGCTTATCCTTGACCATCTTTGGGCTTGCTGGGGAGTCACTTCTGTTTGTTTCCTTTAGCAGGGCTGTCTGGCAACTCTGAAATAGAATTTGATTTTAGAGACCTTCTTTCCCCTGCTACTTCCTCTACTGCTTCCTTCCTCTTCCTCTTTTTCTTTTCCCTCCCTTCCAACAGACATGTGCTGCCCAAATCTGTTCACGTCAGTGATTTCATTTCTGCTTTAAATGATTTACTAAAGTATTAGGTAAAGTCCTGAGTAGTTAAAGAATTAAGGTAGGTTAGAACTAGAAATCTGTTGAGAGCTGCAAAAATCATTTTGGCCTGAGACAGCTTCGCTCTGCCGGTGGCATCTCTGTGACTCCCCAGGGAAGGAGGTTTAGGGTTACTGCATCTTGGCTGTGTGCCTTCCAGGGTTATTATAAAATTAAAAGTGAGGTGGCAGATATGATTTAAAGATGATAAGGATTTTATAACATTACAATGTCCTCATGATGCAGGTGTGCATTAGAATAGAAATGATAACATTTTTTTAGCTATTTTTGCATGGTTCTTTGAAGTATACATCAAAATGGCAGAAAACTGTAAAACAAGATCTTCCCATCTGCTGGTTCACTCCCAGATGGCCACAGTGGCTGGATCTGAGCCTATCTGAAGCCGGGAGCCTGCAGTTTCTTCTGGCTTTCCCACACGGGTGCAGGGTCACAAGGCTTTGAGCCATCCTCCACTGTTTTCCCAGGCTATAAGCAGGAAAGTGGAGCTGCCAGGACATGAACTGGTGCTCATATGGGATTCTGGCACTTGAAGGTCAGGATTAGTCAGTTGAGCCATTGTGCCAGCCCCTGCAACTGTATTTTTTAAATTCATTTTTATTATTTATTTGAAAGGTAAAGTTGGAAAGAGAGAGAAAGATCCAGTCTTCCATCTGCTGGTTCACTCCCCAGGTGATAGCAATGGCCAGGGCTGGGCCAGGCTGAAGTGCTGAAATAGGTGCTGTATTACTCTGATTGCATTGTGAGTTCGGTCCTTTAGGACAGAATTACTTTTTTATTTTTTAAAAGGAAAATTTTGAAATAAGTAAAATAAGACTGGAATTTATATGCATAACTTTAAAATGGTATTGTGCATTTTGTTTATAAAAGCTATTTGTTTATTTGAAAGGCAGAATTATAAAGAGAAGGAGAGAAAAAGAGGGAGGAGGGCAGTTAGGATGAGAGAGAGGTCTTCCTTTGCTGATTCATTCTGCAAGTGGTTGTGATGGTCCTGGCTAAGTCAGGCTGAAGCCAGGAGCCAGAAACTCCATCAGGGTCTCTCACATGGGTGGTGGGCCCAAGCATGCAGGCCATCTTCTGCTTTGTCAGAGCAAGGAGGTAATCAGGAGCGAAACAGCCAGCGCTCAACTGCCCGCTGATGTGGGATGCCAGGGGCCTAGGTGGCAGCTTCACTTGCTGTGCCACACTGCTGGCCTGCATATTCTCTTTTTCCCATGGGAAGTCTTAACTCTAACTGATATGAAATACTCTTTTCCTCCCTTCTCACATTAATGCCTTACCCCACGTTTTTAAATTCAATATTTCTATGATTTGAATATGAAGTTTAAAATGAGGTAGTCTTTATGATAATTTTCGGTGATTGAGACCTCTTCGTCATGGTCTAGACAGTTGTGTTTGTCAGGCTTTGGAGTGTACGGAACTGTTGCTGTCCTGCAGCGACGGACTTGGTGCACGGAACCTATAAAACACGCGTGGGTGGACTCTGACTGATGGTCAATAGCTGAAGTTGATTAGTGGCATCAGATTTTAGAGACAGAAGGTCATATAGGATAAGGGAGGAGATATTGAGCTTATCAGTGGAACCCATCAACTGTTTCTATATTGTCTTTTTTTTTGTAAAGATTTATTTTATTTTTATTGGAAAGGCGGATATACAGAGAGGAGAGAATCATCTTCCATCCGATGATTCACTCCCCAAGTGAGTGCAACGGCCGATGCTATGCCGGTCCAAAGCCAAGAGCCACTTCCTGGTCTCCCACGCGGGTGCAGGGTCCCAAAGCTTTGGGCTGTTCTCGACTGCTTTCCCGGGCCACAAGCATGGAGCTGGATGGGAAGCGGGGCTGCCGGGTTCCGGCGCCCATATGGGATCCTGGCGTGCAAGGCGAGGACCTTAACCACTTGCGCCACTGTGCCGGACCCTCTATACTGTCTTGTTTGGAACTTTTGTATATCCTGTTCACATGCTATCCACTAAGCTGTCCTCATACAAATGATATCCAATCAGTTATACAAAAAGTATGTATTCGGCTGTTCTCATACAAACATTATCCTATCAATTGGTTTTCTTTTTATTTAAAGATTTGTTTATTTTTATTGCAAAGTCAGATATACATATATATATAGAGAGAGTGAGAGAGAGTGAGAGAGGAGGAGAGGCAGAGAGAAATATCTTCCTTCGGATGGTTCGCTCCCCAAGTGACTGCAACGGCCATTGCTGCGCCAATTCGGAGCCAGGAGCCCAGATCCTGTTCTTAATCTCCCACACGGGTACGGGGTCCCAAGGCTTTGGGCCGTCCTCAACTGCTTTCCCAGGCCACAAGCAGGAAGCTGGATGGGAAGCTGGGCTGCTGGGATTAGAACCGGCGTCCGTATGGGATCCTGGCGCCTTCAAGGCAAGGACTTTAGCTCTCAGGCCTGTATCCTGTCAGTTGTAATCCTGTGCTCATTGACCTTCTAGGGTCACAATGTCCTTCTACACTGAACTATTTATTATTTAGCTTTCATGTGTCTGAATTTTCACCAAATAAGATTTTTCAGATACTTGGTGTTTGAAATCATCTGGCTTGCTGAGGAGCTCATTTTTGTGGTTTCCTTTGTTTTCTAGACTCATGAAATGGCCACAGATGAGAAAACCTGCCCGACACTGGACTCCACTAGTGATTTGCCTCGATCTCCTACAAGTCCTTCTCATCTCACACACTTTAAACCTCTGACCCCTGATCAGGATGAGCCTCCTTTTAAATCAGCATATAGTTCTTTTGTGAATCTGTTTCGATTTAATAAAGGTAATTTTTTTTTGTAAGTATTTACTTGTTTGCTTGAAAAGCAGGGTTAGAGAGAGAGGTTTTGCTGGTTCACTCCCCAAATGGCTGCAGCAGCCAGGACTAGCCAGGCCAAAGCCTCAACTCCAGTCAAGTCTCCCACGAGGTGACAAAGTCCAATCCTAGGGCCATCCTCTGCTGCTTTCCTGGGCACACTAGTTGGAACCTGCGCTGGAAGTGGAGCAGCGTGATTTATGAGATGGCAGCCTTGTGGGCAGCGACTTTGTGCCACAATACTGATCCTGAGAAGTTGTTTTTTAATGAATTGTTTTTAGGTAATGTGTTTTTTCTGTAGAAGAGAAGTTTTTGAACAATATTTTTGCCTTTGATTTATATTTTCAAATGCGAGAAACTAATCCCTGTTGTAAGGAATTTGGGGATGGATGTTAGTAGTTTAACTCAGAAATTTTACCAAATGTAACTGACTTCTGATAGTGGCCATGTTTAAATTGCAATAAAAACTGCTTAGTGCATTTTTAAAAAAGATTTATTTATTTTTATTGGAAAGTCAGGTATACAGAGAGGAGGAGAGACAGAGAAAGATCTTTTGTCTATTGATTGACTCCCCAGAGTGGCTGCAGTGGCCGGTGCTGCGCTGATCCAAAGCCAGGAGCCCTCTGGGTCTCCCACGCTGGTTGCAGGGTCCCAAGACTTTAGGCCATCCTCTCCTGCTTTCCCAGGCCACTAGCAGGGAGCTAGGTGAGAAGTGGGGCTGCCGGGATTAGAGCTGACACCATATAGGATCCCAGTGCGTTCAAGGTGAGACTTCAACAGCACCAGACCCTACTTAGTACATTTTAAAGTAAATAATCTTTTATTTGTTTTTTAAAAATTGTATTTGTTAGAATGGTTTTAAATTTCTAGAAAAATTGGGAAGGTAGTACAGAGAATTCCTATATACCCCCATACCTAGTTTCCCCTGTTAATGTGTTAGCATGCCTTATTTTTAAATTACTGACTTCTTACTGATTTACCATTATTAACTAACACATGTTTTATCTATAGTTCTTAAGTTTTTGCCTCACATTCTTTTTTAATTATATGATTGCATTCAGGGTGCCACATTACCGTTAGTTATTATAAAGTAATACTTCTCTTCAACAAATGTGTATTGAGTTACTATTATGCCTTGGGCACTGTTTTAATAGTGCAACCAATCTATCCTTTAAGTAGATGAAAAAGAAAAAATCCTCACTTTTGTGAAGCTTTTATTCTATAGTTAATGTGCTATATTCTGTATTTTATATTTAATAAAATGGCAAATTTAATGAAAATGAAACATAGAATGAGAGTACTATTAATGATCCATAATTTTTTTCTATTTGTAGAATAAAGCATATTTTCATTTATTGATCTGTGTTTTTACCTCTGAATTTCTTTCATACTAAATTATAAATACTATTATATATACTTACATTTATGTATACAATATATGTACATTTTTGCCTAAGAATTTCATCTGTTCATTGCTCTTGACTGAGCTCTGAGTCTTGTTTTTTCAAATAACCTTGAGCTTCCTTTCACTGCAGAGAGAGCAGAAGGGGGCCAGGGGGAGCAGCAATTGCCAAGTGGTAGTTGGGCTAGCCCACAGCTCCCTTCAAGAACGCAGTCTGTGAGGTCACCTGCACCCTACAAGAAGCAGCTCAATGAGGAACTCCAGCGGCGTGCTTCAGTGCTAGGTAACCGGTGTTCTCACTTGGCCCCTCTGCTGAGCCTTTCTTCCTCCACATTGTATTTTCCAGGTGATTTACTGAAAGCTTTTTTGCTATTCACAGTTATCAGGTACTCCTCAGAATGAATTGTTACCCAGATAGTGCAAAAAGTTGTTGATGTCTAGAAAATACTTCTAAGCATGTCATTAAAGTTTAATTTAGGTAAGACACAGATTTCTTGACTGTTTGTTGATTAATTACCTGCTTGGGTTTCAGCAGACAACAGTTTGCAGCATCCCCAGGAGAACACAGGTTAGTTTCAACTGTGTGAATGAACTCTGCCTCTTCTTGGGGCTGATGTGCATGCCTTGGGCTGCAGCACTCTGTCACCTCCATTGGCGGGCTGCCACTTGCTTTTGGGGTACAGACTGTCATTGTGGCTGGGTGAGCTGAGCTCCTTGTGCTTGTTTATTCTCCATCCTGGTCTGCTACGCAGTCACCTTCATTTTCATGCTCATCTCATGAGTATTTCCTGGGGATCAGTGTCTGAATCAGGAAACTAGAGAATGAGGTGGATTATATTTTATTTCTGTTAGATTGTTAAACTCAGTTGAGTGGTTCACTTAATTCAAGGCGACAGACGACAGCAGGAGGTGGCTTGAGATAGGGGAAAGGATGAAGCATTGGGTATAAACAGATTGTGTCTTTTCTGTCCAGTCTGCCTTTTGAGTTCCTTGGGTGAGAAGTAAGTTCAGACAATAGTGGTTGGCAGAAGACATTTATGCCAGCTAGGACCTGATCTAACAAGAAGGCAAGACCAAGCAGCAGCTGTTTTTTTTTTTTTTTTTTTTTTTTTTAAATCTAAAGCGTGTAGCAAAGCAGAACTCCCTAGGGCAGAGAGTCTCAGCATTTGAAAGAAAAGAGATGGGGAGGGGCAGAGTGAGATAGGAATTCTCCTTAGTTAAATCCAAATCATTTTCTCTTTAACTTTTAACTTCAGTGATCTTTTCTTTGCTGTTGAAACTGCTCTGTGCTGTGCTCTAATTTGAAGAGAGTTCATCTTCTTTGTTTTTTAATATTGAGTAGCTAAGAGGCTGGCCTTGTGGCAGTGCCACTGTGTGCAACACTGGTGTTCCATCCAGAACGCTGACTCCGATCCTGCCAGGCCTGGCTGGAGTTCTAGACTCCTGACTTGGCCTGGCTCAGCCTGGACATTTAAGCCACTTGGAAGATCTCCCTGTCTCTCCCTCCCTTTCTCTAACTCTGCCTTTCTAATAAATCTTTAAAAAAAATTGGAGTTGGTTTAAAATCTGTATTTTTAGGGATTACTAGATGGCAGCTTTCAAACTTTGCTTTTGGCATCATGCTAAACTTGAATTTAAATATCTCTAGGTACCCTGTAATCCCTGGTTTGCTGCAGTTCCCTCTATTCCTTGTTATCTCAAATTGACCTGACTCTTTGAGTCTGAGGACAGCTGGGACTGTTTGGTCATTAAGTTCCTATCCCTGTTAAAGAATTGTAATTCTGTAGTTTACTACTTCTCTGACATGAGGGAGGTTAATTAATTATCTAGTTTCCAATTTGCAAAAGAAACAGTTCATTTCTCTAGAGGCAAACTTCTAGATCAAATTTTCTCGGGATCTCTTTCATGTTACTCCAAGATCTGTGACTCTGCTTGTTCCAGGAAGGGTCTTTTTCATCCATTGCTAAAGGGTGCTGTTATTAATACTCTTTTATATTTCTAAGTGGCTGAATGTAAGTGACTCCCCAAATTCAGTATTGCCTGTGTTAGTACGAGTTTAACAAGTTTTATCTGTTTTACTTTTTAACTCGAAGAGTCGCTTTATGTTATGATAAGAAAAATTTGGTCATTGTGATATATACCTACTTGCTTACACCATCACAACTGAAGTTATATGATGAAATTCAGATGTAACTATAGAAAGGTAAGCCTTTCAACATTTTGTAAGCATAGATGCAGTTTAATTATTTTAGTAATTTAATAGTCTTACAAAAAATTTATAAATTTAGGTTTAGTTACCAGCCTTTCATTTCTTTGTAATCCTTTTTCCTGCCACACAGCCAAAACAAAGAACATCTAAAACAAATCTGTCTAAGGGTGATTCTGTGTAGGATGTTACCCATTTTCCTGTAGTACTCCTTTTCTCAGAGAAATTCATTCATTGTGAGACCCATAGTGGATGCCTCAGATACAAATGGCATTGGATCCCATAAGCACTTTGTTTTTTAGTTTTGTAAATTAGCCAGAGTAAGAGATGAAAAGCAATAATAACGGAATACAATAATTGTTACAATATGCTGTAAAATAAATTGTATAAATTTGATCTTAAAAGAATCCAGAAACACTGCTATTTTGGCGTTGCAGTTGACCACAGATAACTGAACCAGAGCAACCACAAGAGCATAGGTAACTGAAACAGAGAAATGAAACCATGGAGAAGTGAGCACAGCTGTATTGGTTTAAGCTAATAGGATGCTTATTCTTTTTAAAAAATTTTTAAAATACTTTATTTTTATTTTTTAAAAATATTTTTATTTGAAAGGCAGATTTAAAGAGAGGATGAACTTCCACCTGTGGGTTGACTCCCCAAATAGCTACAACAGCAGGAGCTGAGCCGGCCTGAAGCCAGGAGCTTCTTCTGGGTCTCCCACCTGGGTGCAAGTGGCTCAAGGACTTGAGCCATTCTCCACTATTTCTCCAGACCATAAGCAGGGAGATAGATCAAAAATGGAGCAGCCAGGACATGAATTGGCATCCATACGGGATGATGGTACAGCAGAAGGAGGATTCTTGCTACATCACTGTGTTAGGCCATTCTTCCCTCTTCCCTTCCCTTCCCTTCCCTTCCCTTCCCTTCCCTTCCCTTCCCTTCCCTTCCCTTCCCTTCCCTTCCCTTCCCTTCCCTTCGTCTTTGTCTTTGTCTTTGTCTTTGTCTTTGTCTTTGTCTTTTTCGCCCTGAATCAGTAGTCTAGTGGCTAAAGTCCTTGCCTTGCATGTGCCAGGATCCCAAATGGGTGCTGGTTCATGTGCCAGCTGCTCCATTTCTCCTCCGGCTCCCTACTTGTGGCCTGAGAAAGCAGTCAAGGATGGCCTAAAACCTTGAGATCTTGCACTCATGTGGGAGACCAGGAAGAGGCTCACTCCTGTCTCCTGTCTTCAGATCAGCTTAGTTCTGGCCATGTGGCCACTTGGTGAGTTGACCAGCAGATAGAAAATCTTTCTCTGTCTTTGCTTCTCTCTGTAAATTTATTTATTTCATTTATTTTGCCGGGCCCTCTTCATTTTCAGCTTACTTGAAAAGTATCCAGATAGAGATAAAGAGAGAAATAGTTGCTGATTCACTCCCCAAATGCCCCAAATAGCCAAGTTTGGACAAGGCCAGTGCCAGGAGCCTGGAACTCAGCCTGGGTTTCCCTTGTGATGGCAGAGACCCAAGCCTTAGAGTCATCATCTGCTACATTTCAGGGTGTATTTACTCCGAGCAGGCACTTCGATAGGGGAATGTAGGTATCACAGCAGTGCCTTAACTGCTTCAGTACGTGCCCACTTCATTGCTCGTCATACCACCTGTCCTTCACCTTTAAGTTTTATAATCACTGATGCCAGAGATAGATAGAAACTTCAGTTGCAACTCTGCTATAAAATAAGGAAGCAATTGATGGTAACTTTGGAAGATATAATCCATAATGGCTACAGAGCTGGAATTTGGGCTTTATCTTATCATGAGAATGTAATTTCCTTATTGTTTCCATAGTAAGTGATCCCTTACACTTTGGGGCTGCAGAGCTGAGGCAGTGATAGGGAGGGTTAGGATTGTCATTTTAGCAATTCTGTGGCAGTGTTAATCTCTGTGGACATTGGTCAGTTGTACCAAAAGTTTTCATCTTGCATGTTCTGAAGTCTCAGAAGCTTTGGGGGTTGGGGCTTGGGCTGTGTGTTTTAGGTTATCTGTTCTGTGAGACTGGTTGTAGGGTTTGCAGACAGAGTTAAATTGCCTGATCCTAATGCTTATTTGATTTTAGAGACCAATATAAATTAACCCTCTGGGATCACTTTCTTCTCTGCTACTTTTCTGGCAAGTTTTATGTGCTGGAGCCATGGGTACGAGAAATCATTAATTAATCATTAATTCTGAGCCATTTAAGTGATATATCCTAGGCCTGCACAACTGTTAATAAACTCAGTTCTTAAGTAACCCTTACCTGCTTGTGAAGTGGTATTTTTTGTGATAATAAATGCTTTTGGCAGCCTCTTAAAAAGACTAGTTTCAACTCTAGTCCATTACACTGACTGAGAGCACATAACAAATGCTAACAATAAGAAGTGCATTGCATTGCATACCTTGTGGTATATAGAAGCTTTTAGTAAGTTTCTCTCTTTCTTTCTTCTGACTTAGACACAAGGAGGAAAGCAGAGCCTGCCTTCGGAGGCCATGATCCTCGCACAGCTGTTCAGCTTCGAAGCCTCAGCACAGTGTTAAAACGTCTCAAGGAAATCATGGAGGGGAAAAGCCAGGTACGGTGTGTGGGCTTTGGAAGAGCACTGACTGTGCTTGCTTCGGCAGCACATGTGCTCAAATTACAAGACTGCTTATGAAGTCCTTGGGGAGGTCATGCCACACTCACAATGGTATCATGCTTGAAAGAAAGTTTAATGTTTCCTCCAGGTATAAACTATATTCTACAATATTTTCTTAACTTTAATCCAGATTGTTTTGTCAATCACCCTGTTTATAGTTAGTGCTTTTCGTGTTTTTAGCAGTGTTGATCAGTTCAACATCTTTATTGTGTGAATAAAAAGTAGTTAAACTTCCTTTTGTCTTCATGGATGTGCAGCTGGACCTAGCACTGTTGTTTTGAACATGACTACCCAAAAGTATCATAAATCATGTCCGAAGTTTGTGTAGTGCTAAGTGTGATAGAGCTACCTGATGTCATCCCATGGTCCCTGATGTGGAACATGCTCTGAGGGTTCTGCTCAAGTGGTTTTGGTAGTTCTGAAATGCTGTTGATCTCACTGCTCCCAGCCTTACCTTTAGTGTTCACCAGTGGTAATCCATGCTAACTAGCTCAGTTCAGCTCAGGTCTCCTACATGGGCTGGTACATAGCTCTGACCCACAAAGGTCCTCCAGCTTTCCCCCGCCCCCAAACTGCTTGGTCTCAGCCCCTTCACTTACTTGCAAGTCTAGTGGCCATGGGGATGCAAGTCCCTCAGAAGTCTTTCCTCACCTGCAGCATGATCCTTCAGCTGTCCTCCTTCCCTCAGATCTTCTTACCCCTTCCCTGGGCAATCCACAGGGCCTGCACTCTGGAGCACATGGGTTCCCCAGCCCAGCCTCCAAAGCCCAGTCTTCTGGTGGGGTGACGTGGGGTGATGTGCTGGCCTGGAGCTCTGCCTCTTCACTAGGGTCCTAAGCTCCTGGCACCTGTACTGGCCTGGGACTTTACTCTTCCTTAGACCCAAGTTCCAGGCCCATTCAAAGTTCTTGAAGCCCGGTCCGCCAGCACACTAAGCCAGTATGTTAACCTAGGGCTCTCCTCTCCCCTCCTCCCACTCCACCTGTGACCAAGCACATAAGGAAATCCCCAGGCTAGACCACCTGCCTGGATGTGAGCTCCCAGTTCCACCCCCAGACCTCTGGCAAGCTTGTCCTACTAGGTGCTGTTGCAAAGCACCAGGGCTCTCTTTTCTATTTTTTTTTTCTATCCTTGGACCAATATCCTATCTATAATTGTTCTGACTTTAATCTTTTTGGCAGGTAATGTTAGTCCTTCAGCGTTGTTCTTCAAGATTTCCTTGATCATTTTGGCTTTATGTATTCCCAAATGAATTTTGAAATTAGCTTGTTAACTTCTGCAAAAGAAACCTAGGATTTTTATTAGGTGTGCATTTTGCTCTTACATGCTGCTAATTTTCAGGATTTTCAAGAAGCCTTTGTCCATTTTATTGTTGCAGGATAGTGACCTGAAGCAGTATTGGATGCCAGATAGCCAGTGTAAAGAGTGCTACGACTGCAGTGAGAAATTTACAACTTTTCGGCGCAGACACCATTGCCGGCTCTGTGGGCAGATTTTTTGCAGTCGTTGCTGTAATCAGGAAATTCCTGGAAAATTTATGGGCTATACAGGTGAATATATTTCACTGGCAGTTCTACAGTTTTTAAAGGTTATAATCTAAGAGTTACAACACAGGACAGTCTTTTTTTTTTTTTTTTAATTCCTAACATTGTATTATGCGACACAGTTCCATAGGTACTGGGATTCCTCCCACCCCTCCCATAACCCTCCCCCCATGGTGGGTTCTTCTACCTTGTTGCGTAACCACAGTTCAGTTTTATTCTGGTGTAAGACACAAAGGTGCAAGAGACTTGACTTTCCTTTTGACAGCTTTCAGTCAAATAAAGTAGATCATGAGTGTCAAAAAGTTACTGAAATAAAACTGAATATATCAGAGCTGCTAGCAAAAAGCTGTTGTGGTGTTAAGATTTATTAGATTTAAGGTGGTTAGAGTGGATTTCTTTTTAGATTAATTTATTTTCATTACAAAGTCAGATACTCAGAGAGGAGGAGAGACAGAGAGGAAGATCCTCTGTCTGATGATCCACTCCCCAAGTGACTGCAATGGCCAGTGCTGCGCCGATCCGAAGCCAGGAGCCAGGAACCTGCCCTGGGTCTCCCACATGGGTGCAGGGTCCCAAAGCCTTGGGCTGTCCTTGACTGCCTTCCCAGGCTACAAGCAGGGAGCTGGATGGGAAGTGGAGCTGCTGGGACCAGAACTGGCACCCATATGGGATTCTAGCGTGTTCGGGGCGAGGACTTTAGCTGCTAGGCCATGGCCACCAGGCCCTATAATGGATTTCTAATTTGTATTACTATGAGGATTTTCAATTTACAAAGTACAGTTTTTCCTTGACTTATACACTGTGCTTTGACAAGTTGTAGCTAATACTCATAAGCAACATAGAGAAGCTTTAGCAATATAAAATATTAGTTTATTGAAATAGAAAAATCTAGAGTATTGTGTGATTTGCACATACAAAGTAGATAAAGAGAACACTTAACTGTCCCTCTTCTTGGTCTCACTTCTGTCCTCACCTGAATTGATGCAGAGTTTAGAATCTTATTTCCTTTGACTTAGACCATGACTACTGCTTTCAAAAGGCTTTGATCTTTTATTTTCTTTACCTCTAATTAATTTTTTATACTCTGTCAGCATTCTTTGTAAAAAGCTACTTGATCATACCAGGCTAGTTTGCTTAATTTCCTTTTATCTCCAGTACCCTTTTAAAAAAAATTTATTTGTTTATTCAAAAGTCAGAGTTACAGAGACAGAGTGGTCTTCCATTCACTGATTTACCTGCCCAGATGCCCACAGTGGCTTGACCCGTGTAGTGCCAAAGCTGGAGCTTCATCTGGGTCGCCCTCATGGTTGACAGGGTCCCAAGCACATGGACTATCTTCCATTTCTTTTCCCAGTTGGCAGAGAGCTGGATCAGAAGTGGTGTAGCTGGGGCTTGAATCACACCCATATGGGATTTTGGCCTTGCAGGCAGTAGCTCTGCCTGCCACACCACAACGGACCCTTGCCTAATACCCTTTCAGAGCTCCTGCTACCATTAAGGTGAAACGTGTCTTGTTAAGACTACTGGTGTTTTAGTTTCCTAGGGCTGCCACAAATTGAATGTCTTAGAACAACAAAAAATTGTTGTCTTAGCGTTCTGGATGTCATAAGTACCACAATAGTCATCATTCCACAGTTCAGGGAACCAATGTAGGGATCTGTTTCAGATCTTGGAAAAACCTTATAATGAGCTTGGGGAAGCATTGACCTCCTTTTAAGATGGACCCTTAGCTAGAACACCATTATCTGGCTTCCATAATCCCTTGATTTTTGATTGTTGGGCCACAATAATATTTTGGGTGCTGTGGAATTTTTGTCTGTTTTCAAACAGGGATGGGACATGTCTGGTGCACAGACTGTATAAGGCCCGTATAATCATTTGTTCTGGCCCTGCCAGGGCAACTGCAGGTAGGAACTTGAAATTCAGTCAATCTGTAGCAACTGTCTACTTTGCCTAGAATTCTTTCGGCACTTACACACACCAAGAAAGAATTTAATTTCTGCCCTTCTGTTTTATTTCCAGGGGACACCATGATCATTTCTTTAAGCTAATCTCTTCTGATTGCTGCTGTCTGTTTTCTGTTACAGAAATTATAGCCACCTGTTTTTGACTGTTAAGAGCCACTGCTTGGCCTTTGCCATTCTGGTCCATTTATCCCCATTTTATTTTTTTATTAATTTATTATTTTGGTATAAGAACTTCTGAAGCCCATGTGTAGCTTTTTTTTAGATGTATTTTTATTGAGAGAGAGAGAGAGAGAGAGAGAGAGAGAGAGAGAGAGAGAAGAGAGACAGAGAGGAAGATCTTCCGTCCTATGATTCACTCCCCAAGTCAATGCAACGGCCGATGCTGCGCCGATCCAAAGCCAGGAGCCAGGAGCTCTTCCGGGTCTCCCACACGGGTGGAGGGTCCCAAGGCTTTGGGCCGTCCTCGACTGCTTTCCCAGGCCACAAGCAGAGAGCTGGATGGGAAGTGGAGCTGCTGGGATTAGAATCAGCACCCATAAGGGATCCTGCTGCTAGGCGATGGCACCAGGCCCCATGCATAGCTTTTACATATGCATTTTACCATAAACCTTTTGATGACTTTTAACTGTAGAGAGAGAGATTTTGGTAGCTCAAGTGGCAGGGACTGGTAGTTTGAAATTCTCAGGGCAGGTTAGCAGACTGGAAACTCTTTCAGGATTTCCATCTTGCAGTGTTGAGACAATCTGTTTTTCATCTGGAAAGCTGTTAGTGCCTCTAGCTGTTTGAATGAGACCATGATTTTATGACTAGAACAGACAACTATGAAAGAATAGCCTTAAGATGAAAAAAAAATTGTACTTGTTAATAATTATGGTATCTATAATATAGTGAACTCAACTTTTTGTATCACTTTAGATTCCCGTTACTGATTAAAAAGCTTAAGGTAGAATTATTAAATAACATGTTAGTAAAACTCAATTATTTTGCCTGCTTTTAAAATATACTAAAATATTACAGAATCACACAAAAGCAATGTGAAAAATAGGCTGCAAATTAAAATGTGTGTTTGGACACAGCTGTATCCTAAAATTTTTTTAGAAATACTAATTAGCTTTGTCCTCTTGTGAATATATAGCTTTTATCTTAATTTTCACTGCATTAATTTCTCCTTGGAGCATGTCCCACATCAGGGACCTGGGGTGGGTGGGAGACTGGGTGCGGCTTTTCCCTTAATATTCCCCTTTACGTCAGATACATGAAGGAAACAATGTGGAAATAGTAGTCTTACCCACTTTCCTGTAGCCCTTGAACCTTTTTACCCTAATTAACTATGATAAGATTGTCAAACATTCTTACGTAGTTTTTACATCATATATTTGTATCATATGTAAGCCTGTTGCCTACTTTTTTGTTTTGAAAATTGTGCCCCCCTGTGGAGGCCTGTTTTTAGGCTTCATAACAGTCTTTTTCTCCTCTACTGCTGAGGAAGAATGTGATGTTTTATTTCTATTGGTTTATTTATTCAGTTGAATTTTTCTTCCCGTAAGATCCTCTGTTGCTGATAGAATCCCTGTTTTGTTTCTGTAACTTTGAAAAAACTGTTTCCTTAAGTGTAGTTTCCCAACATTACTGGGGCATGTTTCCTAATTTATTAAAAGTATTTGAAGTAAAGTGGATGTATAAAGGTATAGTGGACATATAAATGTATAGTTGATGGTTCTTAAGATAAGTAACATAACCAACAAAGTTATTTTACTTTTTAAAAATGTATTTTTTAGTTGTCTTTACTTGAAAGTGATTTCCTGTCATTAGAGTATTAACCCAAGCCTATAAAATAGTCTTAATTAATACATTACTGCTATCTTTATTAAATGTATTATTTTTGTTTTCTCCTAGGAGACCTCCGAGCTTGTACATACTGTAGAAAAATAGCCTTAAGTTATGCTCATTCCACAGATAGTAATTCCATTGGGGAAGACTTGAATGCTCTTTCTGATTCCACTTGCTCTGTGTCTGTACTCGATCCCGGTGAACCTCGAACACCTGTTGGGAGCAGAAAAGCCAGCCGTAACATATTTTTAGAGGATGATTTAGCCTGGCAGAGGTATTGTCCCTTAGATATATAGTTTTCTTTTTTTTTTTTTTTTAAGATTTATTTATTTTTATTTGAAAGGCAGATTTACGAAGCAAGAGAGACTTTTTGTCCACTGGTTCACTCTCCAAATGGCCACAACAACCAGAGCTAAGTCATTTTGATGCCGACAGCTTTTTCTGGATCTCTCACAAGGATGCAAGGGCACAAGGACATGAGCCATTCCTCACTTCTTTGCAGGCCGTAAGCAGGGAGGTGCCAGCCCCAAAGATATACTTTCCCTTAATTTGAGCCATACTGATATTCTTGTGAATTGGACTGCTTCTGGCTAATGTTTATTTCTTTGAATTGTTTCTACTAGTTCTCTATTACCTGCTTTTTTCTTGGCTTGCCTTCAGAAGAATTGTAGACATTCATGGATAGTGATGACATTGGCTAATTAGAGCATAGGCTCCATAGAGGCTGTGGCACAGGAGGCTACTCTTGCGCCTGCATCTCTTGTGTGCACCGGATCATATCCTGGCTGCTCCACTTCCGATTCAGCTCTCTGCTTTTGGCCTTGGAAGGCATGGGGAGATGGCTCAAATCCTTGAACCCTGGACCCACGTGAGACCTGGGAGAAGCTCCTGACTCTTGCCTTGGGATTGGTTCTGCTCTGGTCATTGTGGTCATTTGGAAGTGAACCAGTGGATGAAGGATCTTTCTTCCTCTTCCCTAACTCAAATAGAAATGAAATAAATCTTTAAAAAGTATATATGTGTGCATATATTTATATAAGAACTAAATGAGAAAAGTCTTTATACTCTTCTTTATTTGCTGTTCTGCTCTTGGCACCAAGGATGGTACATAGTGTGTGTATGATTTTGATAATATTTATTGAGTAGGCGACTGAAGTAACAGATTAGTGACTCCTAATGAAAGAAGGACCATCTAAGATTTGAACCGAAAGTATTTCCAAATGAGTTTAGGTAGTTTTGTTTCTATGGGCACATTTCTTGTCTTTGTATGTGTGTTGACTGCATGTAGGAAGCTGTTAATGTTTGCAGTTACTTGAAATTGAGAATTGTAGGCTTGTGAATATCCTTTTTTTTTTCTGCAGTGTTTTCCTAAGCAGAGTATTGAATATGAGTATGACAGTTTTGAGTTTTACCTAAGTCTTTCTGATAGATTTTTTTCTTTTCAGTTATCCCTTAGGAGAATGAGGAATGAGTATAATGAGTTTAAACAAATAAAAAATGAGTTACAGTTAAAAGCAATATCTGAGACTCTTTTGGACTTATGTGTAGCAGGAAGGAAAGTCTTGGAGGTCTTAACTAATTAAGATTCCATTTATTTGAAGTTAAAAATATATAAAATCAAGATAATGTATACGAATACAAAAATGCACAAAACTAATAAATTGTCTAGTAGAGATACCAGCATAATATAACTTAAAAATGAAAACAGTAATAAAAGCTTCTGGTAGTGGTTTCATTGAGGACAGAGAAATGGGGTTGAGTATGAGGAATGACAAACTTTAGTCAGTGGTAGTTTTCATTTGCTTAAGTTACTTGATTATCTTGATTTTTGTGACATATTCTTTCTACCTCATATCTTATACATTCAAAAAATAGAGTATATTAAAACTCTGCAGAAGGTAGGAATTCTTTCCTTCTTGCTTACTTTAGTTAGTAATGACTTTGATTTGTGCCTGATCCTGTTGTATAACTGGCAGTTGTGATTTAATAAAACAAACTGGGTATGAAAGCTTCTTGGTGTCAAGGTACAATGATAGTTACATTTTAGTTTCTGTGCTAATCATTTAATCATTCTCTCATGGTCATCCCTCTGCAATAGATGCTTTTTTCCCCCTTTTGACATATGTGGAAACTGAGGTTCAGAGATATTAAGAACCCAAGATTACCCATTTAGTGAGAGGGAGAATGAGCACTTGTATCTGTGTTTGGCTGATTCTGTTATTACTGTGGGGACTGAGAATGATGCATGTGAAACTCACAATTCTTCCATAATCATTTCTATTTTGTACATAGATTATGAAAGAAAAAGAGTTCTGTAAGTTAAGCCAATTTTGTTAATTTTTTGATGTTTCACATTCATTAAAAATCCTTTTCCATAACATTCTTTTAGCACTTAGTGCTTCTAAATTAAAGTTTCCAACATAAGGAATAGGAGTCATAATATCATCCTTTAATAAAAAAATTTAATCTGCTTTAAAATATTAAAGTACATTATCTGAATCAGATTTGCCTTTTATTCTCGCAGTTGATCTTAGTATTTCCCTGTTTTCTTGATAGTTTGATTCATCCAGATTCCTCAAATACTGCTCTTTCAACAAGACTTGTATCTGTCCAGGAAGATGCTGGGAAATCTCCTGCTCGGAATAGGTAAACTGCAAAATAAAAAAACTTGAATTTTGTGTCTGATTTTCATTTGTTTTTGTGGCAAGGAGAAGAACAAACAACTATTTTAAATGGTGGGATCTATTGTCGGACACTATTCTAGCTCTGAGTTAGGCTGTCATTTCCTTTTTCCTGGTCTCTTTCATTCTCCATAGCTCTTTCTGGTGTTCTCTGCTGGCTTCAGACTTTGGAACCTACATTGACTTCTGTGTGTGAAGTTCAGTAGGAAGACCTAAAGGATGTGAGGGAGTGAGCCATGTGGACGTTTTATGGGAGGATGTGCCAAGCAAATATGTATGACGGATTCGTGAGAGGGAACATAACTGACAAGGAATAATAGTAGCCAAGCAATTCTGTGTGTTTGAAATAGCATAGTCTTACATTTAATTGCCAATACTGTTGTTTATTCGAAGTGTTATATATTTTCTGTTTACTTTTAATCATTTTAAAAAAAGATTTATTTATTTATTTATTGGAAAGTTAGATATACAGAGAGGAGGAGAGACAGAGAGGAAAATCTTCCATCCGATGATTCACTCCCCAAGTCAGCGCAATGGCTGATGCTGTGCCGATCCGAAGCCGGGAACCAGGAACCTCTTCTGGGTCTCCCACATGGGTGCAGGGTCCCAAGGCTTTGGGCCTTCCTCAACTGCTTTCCCAGGCTACAAGCAGGGAGCTGGATGGGAAGTGGAGCTGCCGGGATTAGAACCGGCACCCATATGGGATCCCGGCGCATTCAAGGCAAGGACTTTAGCCGCTAGGCCATGCCGCCGGGCCCACTTTTAATCATTTTTTAAAAAACGGAAACTTGCTGAGTTTTTAGCTTTGGGCTCTTCGACCTGTCCCAGCCCTGTCTTAGGTATTTGGGAAATGAAATAGACATGGAATATCTCTCTCTCTCTCTGCCTTTCAAGTGAATGAAACAAATGGACATTAAAAAAATTGTTTAAACCTTTTTGCTAAACCTGTGGTTTGGACCTTAAATTATTTAAAAAAATAGCTTTATCTGGAGGAAGCACACGTTTTTTAGGGGAGACTGTTTTGAATGATAGCCCTTGTATTTGTTAAATTAGTTATCTGATACAAATTATTTAGTTCTGTGTTGTCTAACCCATAGATGGTTTTGCTGTTTATTCTTTATATAAAAGCTAAAAATAGGTTCAGTTTCTTTCTAGGTAGAAGCTTAGTTAAAGTTCTAGGTAAATATTTTTTATAAATATTTGATCAGTTGGGCTAGCTCTCTGGCAAGTGGGTAAGGCTACCAGCTATTGTGCTGGCATCTCATATAGGTGCTGATGTGGCCACTTGGGAAATTAAACCAGCAGATGTATGATCTCTCTCTGTAATTCCACCTTTCAAATAAATAAATAAAGCTTGATAAAAGAAAAGATTAATATGTTGATATTCCTCTAATTGGCCACTTATGTGATATAAGTGTAAGTACTCGTAAGTACTAATGAGAGAAGTAACTGTTTTCAAAATAAAATTATTTTCAATAATTTTAATGAATGAAATATATAATAATTGAGGATAATTTTGTTTTAGAAAAGATTTATTTATTTGAGCTGCAAAACTACAGAGAAGGGAATAGGAAGAGATCTTCCATCTTCTGGTTCTCTCTTTAAATGGCTGCAGTAGTTGAGGCTGTGCTAGGTTGAATTCAGGCGTTTCTGCTAGGTCTCACAGTGGGTGCAGGGACCCAAGCTCTTAGGCCATCTTCTGCTGCTTTCCCAGGCCACTGGCAGGGAGCAGAGGACACAGGGTTTGAACCAACATACCTTTAGGGTGCCGGTACTGCACTCTGAAGATATTTTAAAAATGAATCTAATGAGAAGAAAGGAAATTCTTTTGTGAATGTAACGTTTTGCTTAGTTGGAATTCAAAATTTGTGTGTTCCTTATCAGACAATCAACTCTAAAAACATAACTTTAGTTCATGAACTATACAAAAAAGGGCAAAGTGAATTAGGCTTGTGGGTCATAGTTTGCCTAGGTCTAAAAGATTATTTCTGCATTTAGTTGTCATTATTTATATTTGTCAGTTTATATATCATCACTGATTTGCATCTAAATAGTAGGTTTGTGCTTACTCCCTTTACAATAGCATCTATGAGCTAGGCATTGTTTTCCTGTAACTTTTCTAGAACTGTTTTTTAAAAAAACATGTTTCTGAATAATTTTAGACTCATACAAAGGTTATGAAGAGGCTCCAAAAACTTGTGAGACGTATGTGTTATTACTTGGTTGTATTTGAAGTTTTTAAAGTGCCTTTACAGGCTAGAAAGTTTGTCTAGTCTTGCAACCGTCACATCGTGCATATCCATTCTGTTTGTAGGCATATCATTCACATTGACAAGCATGTATTTGGCATTGATTTTTCTCTATAGTTCTATTTACCGGTGAAGAACTTATAACTGTGATTTCACTTTTTAAAATTTCCAGGTCTGCCAGCATTACTAACCTGTCACTGGATCGATCTGGTTCTCCTATGGTTCCTTCATATGAGACGTCCGTCAGTCCCCAGGCTACCCGGCCATATGTGAGGACAGAGACTACTGAGGATGAACGCAAAATTCTTCTGGTACTGGTTCAGTGTCTTTGGCCCTTTGCTAATTCTGAGTGTAAAGATTTATCTAACTAATATTTTATGTATATTACCCCTGCTTGTGGCCTGGGCAAAGCAATAGAGGATGGCCCACAGCTTTGGGATGCTGCATCTGCACAGGATACCAGGAAAAAGCTCAGCTCAGGCTGTTGTGATCACTTGAGGGGTGAACCAATGGGTGGAAGATCTTTCTGTTTTTCCATCTCTCTATAAATCTGCCTTTTCAGTTAAAGTAAAATAAAATTTAAAAAGTATATATTCATGTATATAAAAATGAAATAGCATATCTAGTAAGTAGGAAAATAGCTTAAGTATTAGAATCACTGGAGAGGACCCGGGGCGATAGCATAGTGGTTAAACAGTTCTCGCCTTGCATGCCCAGGATCCCATATGGGCTCAGGTTCTAATCCCGGCAGCCATACTTCCTATCCAGTTCTCTGCTTGTGGCCTGGGAAAGCAGTTGAGGATGGCCCAAAAGCTTGGGATCCTGCACCCACATGGGAAACCCAGAAGAGCTCCTGGCTCCTAGTTTTAGATTGGCTCAGCGCCAGCCGGTGTGGCCACTTAGGGAGTGAACCATTGGACGGAAGATCTTCCTGTCTGTCCCTCCTCCTCTGTATATCCGCCTTTGCAATAAAAATAAACATCTTAAAAAAAAAAAAAGAATCACCAGAGAAATTAGTCAACTAGTCTGCCCTATGTATATTTATACTTTTTTTATCCTTTTCATCAGGCGTGATCATAATTCAATTGCCTACATAATGAAAATGCTTAACTTTTTAGTTTGGTTTCAGGTTGCTGAAATGTTTCTCAAATGCAAGGGAAATGTTTCAGACATTTTACTGTGTTTGTGTGAGAATTATCAGTTTTTTGAATTTATGTTTAAAATATGTTCATGCATAGGAGTGAATCAGAAATGGAAGATAGGGTTTTTGTTTTCAGGATTACAATTTGAAATGTATTAGATCAGTGAGAAAGTTCTTGAAGTAAAATAATACTTTAATAAAAAAATACCAAATTAGGGCCCAGCACCGTGGTCTAGCAGCTAAAGTCCTCACCTTGAATGCGCCAGGATCCGATAAGGGTGCTGGTTCATGTGCCGGCTGCTCCATTTCCTATCCAGCTCCCTGCTTGTGGCCTGGGAAAGCAATTGAGGATGGCCCAAAACCTTGGGACCCTCCACCCGCATGGGAGACCAGAAAGAGGATCTGGGTTCCTGGCTTTGGATCGGCTCAGCACCGGCCGATGCAGTCACTTGGGGAGTGAATCATCGGACGGAAGATCTTCCTCTCTTTCTCTTCTCTCTTCCTCTCTGTATATATCTGACTTTGCAGTAAAAGTAAATAAATCTTGAAAAAGTATCAAATTAGTAATAAGATTATATGTTAAATAAAAATTTAAAAAAATAGGAAAGACCTTCAGCGAATGGGGTGAACTGGAGTTTGAAGGAGGGAATTGATTTGGGTGTGAGGAAAGTGCATATTACACTGAGGTGTGAGGCAGTGAGAGGTGTAGGTTGAATAAGGTTGGCATTTTTCATGGAGTGAAGTAGTGAGTTATTAGGAGAGAGTTTAACTTGTAGTCTGTAGGCAGGAGAGAGAGTGAAGTGATTTGGTTCTTCCTGGGGGAAGAAGAAAGTGAATTGTAGTCCTTACAGATTTAAGTTTGAATCTGTAGTCACTGAGCAATGTTGGAGGTTTTCTTGAGCTGGGAGTAATTTATGGAAGGCCACCTTCTATGAAAAGCTGACGTAGCAGCTGGGAACAGATGAGAATTGAGAGACTCAGGTGGACTGAAGGCTGCTAGGAAGAGTTACCTTAGGTCCGCATAATGAGTAGTTGTCTCCCTTTACCTTGCTCTGTCTCTGAAGAGTGCATTTTGCACTTGGGCAAATGTGCCATTGGTTGATAAGAAAGTTTTTTGAAATAGTTGATTTTAAAGAGGAATAATTATATTTAGGGCTCAATTAGATGAAGTTAAGAGTTCCCCTGTGTATATTTAATTATTAAATCATCTAAGTTCGCTAATATAAAACCCAACTTAAATCTCCTTTTCTGAATCTGAGAGTGAGTTATGGGAAGTGTATTAATAGGTAAACAACATCCATCTCAGGAGTGATTACTCTCTGGTGTTGATTACAGGACAGTGTCCAGCTGAAGGATCTTTGGAAAAAAATCTGTCATCATAGTAGTGGAATGGAGTTTCAGGATCACCGTTATTGGCTGAGAACACATCCCAACTGCATTGTAGGAAAGGAATTAGTCAACTGGTTAATCAGAAATGGACACATTGCTACAAGGTATTGTGGTTTTAATGAAGAGATTTTGCTGATTTCTTCCTTCCTTTCTTCTTTGCTTCCTAATGAGAGCATATATTTGAAGATGTAAGGGTAACATTTCTTGGCTAGTGCATTGTTTCATGGATTTGATGGTTAGGGGTTGTAATTACTCAACTCTCTTATCTAGGTTTTAAATAGAGAGTGGATGCAGGTTGCCAAATGGGATTACTTTCTGAAAAGTAGAAATGTGCATTTACCTCTAAGACAGAATTTTCTAGTAAAACGGGATTAAAGAATGTAGTTCGAGCTCAAGGCCAAAGAATTCTTCTGTTAGAGTTCTTTCCTGTTGACATTACAGCCTTCATTAACTACACTTGGAGAGTTCTAGTCGGCCTCACAAATCATTGTAAGAGAGTAACACGTGGAGTATTTTACCTTTTGTGTTAAGCAGGGAGCTGAATTGAAAGTGGAACTGCTCCGGTCAACGTGATAGCCTAGTGGCTAAAGTTCTCACCTTACGTGACTGGGATCCCATATGTATGCCAATGTCCTGGCTGCTCTATTTCCCTTCCAGCTCCCTGCTTGTGGCCTGGGAAAGCAGTAGAAGATGTTCCAAGGCCTTGGGACCCAGTCCCTACATGGGAGACCCAGAAGAAGCTCTTGGTTTTGGACTGGTTTAGCTCTGGCTGTTGTTGCCACTTGCGGAGTGAAGAAGTGGATGGAAAGAAGATTTTTCTCTCTGTCTCTTCTCTCTGTAAATATGCTTTTCTAATAAAAGAATAAATCTTTAAGAGAAAAAAGCAGAGTGGAATTGTTTGACTAGAGCTGGCACCCTTGTGGGATGCCAGTGCTACAAGTGGAAGCTTAGGATATGAAGCCATTTGCTGGCCCCTCAGTTTCAACAGGAGGGAAATATTCGTTTCTACAGATAAGCTGGGGAAGTGAAATAAAGCAGTATTGGATAAAATGTTTTAAAATTTGTAAATGTACAGTATAGTATTATTATCTGTTACACACATGCACACGTTTATGTTTGTAACTAATATTTACTGTTATTTAAGATTGTAAGCCGTGGGTAGAAGCCATGATATGTTCAACATTTTTTTTGACTGTTAAATACAGGGGTGTGAGTACTCAATAGATACTGTATTTAAACTTAGGTTTGATAATGGTTTCTTTCTCCTTTAATATAATACTTAGTCAAATCTTTCAGTTTGCTTTATGTCTCTTGTTTTATCCATAACTATCTAAGGACCATTTGAAACTCCCAATCTGATTAGAAATGAAAAAAAATTAAGGTTGTGTCTTGTATCTGCAGAATTAGCCTGCCTGGCTTTTCAAACTTTTAAATTTTGCTGGTCTTGATTCAGGGCACAAGCTATAGCCATTGGACAAGCAATGGTTGATGGACGTTGGCTGGATTGTGTCAGTCATCACGATCAGCTCTTCAGGGATGAATATGCTTTGTACAGACCGCTGCAGGTAAGTTTTAGTAGTAAGCTAGTTTTAAAGTCTTTCTTCATCTATGGGAGCAAAAAGTAGTTGATTTACTTGAAGATACTTTTTTTAAAAATATGTTTTTCGTGATGTTTAAGAAAGAAATTTTAAAACATTTTTTGGCTTAGTGATAATGAAAAAGTTGCCATTAGAATCAACCACACCATTTAGTGGATGTGGCTTTTCTTAAAATCAGATTTGTAGTGTTATACTTGCTTGTTGTTTAATATTGATGGTATTCAATTCAAGGTAGCATACACAATAAAATTGAAAGATTAAATGTACTGAAATAGATTCTTACTCCTTAGCACCATTAAATTGTATACAATGGCACAAATGAATAATTTCTGTTTGTTTCTGAGAAAGGGGAAAATTTAAAAAAATTTTTTAGCAGGAAAAAAAAGGTATACTTCACTTTTAGTTTGTGAATTGAAGATGAAACTCAATGATTAGAAAAGATGTCTAACCCCAGACTAGTGTATGTGTGATTTATTCAAACCTAACAGTTTTTTTTTTAGGGGTGTGTCTTAGAGCTGTTCTGCAGTTCTAAGTGGTCTTTGTTCTCAGAGCAAAAAGATAAGTGAAACACTGTGAAATCTGTGTCAAAGAATTGTTTGGTTCATAATATGTTACTTAACCTTTCAATAAATCTAGCAGTGTAATTTTCATTATGATGTTTTATTCTCTAAATGGTTTTTTTTGTATACATCTATTGAGTTGTTAGATTTATAGCAATATTGGGCTGTGATTGGTTCGCAGTGTGTCAGCCTCAGAACACTGTTAACCATTAAGGTCACTTCTTTGGATCCTGTCTTGGTCTTTTCAGAGTACAGACTTTTCTGAGACGCCTTCTCCTGATAGTGACTCAGTAAACTCTGTCGAAGGACACTCTGAGCCATCCTGGTTTAAAGACATCAAGTTTGATGACAGCGACACAGAACAGATAGCTGAAGAAGGTGACGATAATTTGGCTAGTGAGTTTAACTTTCTAACATTTTTAGTTTCTGTGGCTTATTTTCTGTGTATGTATGGTAAAGTGAATGTCTTGGCTTTTTAAGATGAAACCATTCTGCTTTATGATTTGAGTTCAACTAAATATAAACATCTAATAGCAATCCTTGTCTTAGATACAGTATTTTCTTGAGAAGCCAACTTTTCTGTAGTCTGTAGTTTGCAGCAGCTTAAAAATAACTTGAGCTAATAATATCGCAGCATGCAACCTTCTCACCTTTTCACTGTGATATCAGACTTTCTCTCTGCAGAACCTCCAATTGATTTCTTCATTTAAAAAATCAATTTTACATTTAACTTCTTCAAATTTTATCAAGTCTTCCCAGAAGTATGTGAAAATACTGTATCCATTTTGGTATTGCACATTGGGGTTGTATATTTAAAAAACATTTTTTGTCCTTTGCTCCAGTACCCTGATAAAACCCATTTTTACTCCCCTCCCTCCCTGTATTTCTTTCCCCTCCCCAACACTAAAAGATTCTGCCAGTCCTAGCAAGCGCACCTCAGTCAGCAGTTTCCAGTCCACAGTGGACAGTGACTCAGCCGCTTCCATCAGCCTGAACGTGGAGCTGGACAACGTGAACTTCCATATCAAGAAGCCCTCCAAGTACCCACATGTGCCCCCTCACCCTGCTGACCAAAAAGGTAGGAGGTAGTCGCCAACTGGAATCCAGGCAGGCTGGAGAGTGGGGCCATAGGATCTCTGCTTTCCTCTGTCCCATGTGGCTGAGGGCATTTGGTGTGGGTTTGTTCCACCCTTTCTTGTTTCCCCATACCTCCTCCTTACACCCTTTTTGATTGACTCTTTTTATTTCTTATTTTCTCCCTCAGTACCACTATGCCCAGTTTACAGCTTGTAGCCTTTAAAAGGAACTACATCTGACTGCTCTTCCCGTAATGTGCAACTTCCAAGGTGGCAGTTCTTTGTATTTATAACATGGATGTTCTGCTCTGTTTTTTTGTTTTGTTTTGTTTTGTTTTGTTTTCTTCTTTCTTCACTTAACATTTAAAAGCCTGTTTGCCTCTGCTGTACTGTAGTCATGTGGTGTTTCACTAAACCTGTTTAAGTGCTTGCACTAGTTGGGGGGAAATCATTTACATTTTCCAAGATAGCTTTTCACTATAATTTAGAAAATTTTTTTATGTATATGTTACATTTGTAACAAGAGCTTTTCTTCTTTAATTAAAAAAAAATGGATTCAATCTTTCTTTATAGCTATGTAATTTGATGTGTTAGTCTGCTGACTCAACAATAAAATGGCTATATTTGAACACATTGGTGTAAAAGGAAATATTGGGTAAAACATTACTTAAGTCTAACACAGTTTAAAATAGAAGAGGTGAAAATGCCTTTTAAAAAATGAATGGTACAGTTTACTTTATTCCATATATTTAAAATTCAGTTAAATTATAGCCCCAATGTGGTGTAAAGGTAAATAAGTTTTAAAAATAATAAGTAATGATGTATAGTGTGAATTCAAATTGTACCTCTAAGGAAACACCTACAGTTGAAAAAAAAAATCAATTCCTCAGGAACTTTTCCTCATTTTAAACCTTTAAGAGATTGTCTACAAAGGTTGTGAATAGTAGCTGTTTCAACTTTCACTGAGCAAAGTCAACACTTTTTAAGGAAAATGAGAAGATAATGGAAGTTTAGATTGCATGGATGGTTGTGTAAAATGCCAAAGATACCTGAGAAAAGATTCTAATTGCAATAGAAAAAGTAAGCCAATTGTTTAGGTAAGTCAGTATAACTTTGATGTCTGAAAGGAGGTTTTCTTTATCAGGAATTAGTCTTATCAGAAAAGAACACACATACGATTGAGAGGAAAGTTATGTCTAAGGTAATGAAAGCTGACAGTATCTGATCCTTTTAAATAAACCTATTGGGGGCCCGGCGCTATGGCGCAGTGGTTAATATCCTCGCCTTGCACGCCTGGGATCCCATATGGGCGTTGGTTCTAATCCCGGCAGCCCCGTTTCCCATCCAGCTCCCTGCCTGTGGCCCGGGAAAGCAGTCGAGGACAGCCCAAAGCTTTGGGACCCTGCACCCGCGTGGGAGACCTGGAAGAGGCTCCTGGCTTCAGATCGGCATAGCATTGGCTGTTGCGCTCACTTGGGGAGTGAATCATTGGACGGAAGATCTTCCTCTCTGTCTCTCCTCTCTGTATATCCGCCTTTCCAATAAAAATAAAATAAATCTTAAAAAAAAAAAATAAACCTATTGGCAGGTGTAGGCAAACCCTGTTTCCCAGTTGTTAAAGGAATTTGGACCTGAGGTCATGAAGCTAGAGTTTGTTATCTTTAGAAAATTGTGAATCACCTCAGTCTTCATAATATGGCTTTATTAGAAATGTAATCAGTCTGCTTGTGTTATTTGAGCCTATGTACGTTACTGATGTTTAAGTACTATATAGTTCTCCAAGTCAAAGTTGCCTGTAAGTCAGTGTTGGCATATTGTTGCTGTATTGATCTTGGATCTTCATGCCAAATTTGCCTTAAAACTTGAATTAGAAGAATTGCTTGGAATCAAGTGGGGCAGTGTCTAGAAAAAGATAGCTTGCGCCTTCATGGCCTGTGGCTGCTGCAGAGAGCAACAGGTGCTGAGTGGTGAGCTAAGTCCAAACAGCAGGCCTGGCCTGACTTCATCTCTTGTGAAGGTGACTTGGTGTGTGAGTAGCTATTTGAATGGATGTCTCTGTGGATAGAGGACAGCAAGGCCGTCTTGAGTTTCATCTTGCTGTGCCTCTCTATCACCTCAGATACATAGTAATAATATTTTTGTGACAGGAATTTTTGACATTTTCTCTCAGTCATTTTGAAATTCACTGTATTACTCCCTGGAGTTTGGTCACCATTGTTGTCTTTAGTATGATTTTTTTTGTATGAAAAATATATAGAAGATGTAGTATAATTGGTGAATGTGAACTTGTATCTGGTTTTAAAGGTTTTGCAAAAGTACTGAGTGTGTTTAAAGTCAATCATTTTACATTATGCTATTGGATTTATCTATATTCAATATTGTTCAGCACTTTTTTGGGTTAAAATTTATACATGATTTTCAGATCTACAAATGATTGAAATCTGGAAAGAATGACTAGCATGTTGGATAGCAGGATTGGAATTTAAATATTTTTATTGCCCATGCATTATGTCCCATTGTTCTACGTATAGGGCCTATAGATTTTAATTGAGAATAAGTATACTGCATATGATAAAATAAATATGTCATTAAAATATTGGCAGAATTTAAAACTTGTGTCTTGAGCGGTGAATCCACAGGATGGAATTTGCCACAAATATCATGTAATTAGGCTTAAAACTATTTCATTTGGTGATATTTCAAATTTATTTAATTTGCTATTATTTAATGTACTATTGATAGTCCAAGGAAAACAATGCTGATTTCTGATGTGATAAAGATGCAAGTTTTAGTATTATCTATGAATATGATTTGGCAAACTGCTGCTTCCCTCTTTTCTAAAGCCATGATAGATTTCATTAGTGAAAGTTCCATTTTACAATATAATGTTGTATTGAATCTAATGTAAAGTTTTGTGTTCCATTCTGATTTTTTAAATGAGCCCAGTTGCTAATGCCTGAGTCATGTGAAAACCATGCTATGTTAAGTCATAAGAGAGTTAAGACTATTTGAAACAGAAAAAAGAAAACTTTTTGTAATGATTTATTTTTACTGCAGTCAGTTATATGAAGAGGAGGAGAGACAGAGAGGAAGATCGTCCATCCAGTGGTTCACTCCCCCAAGTGACCATAACAGATGGAGATGAGCTAATCCGAAGCCAGAAGCCTGGAACCTCCTCCATGTGTCCCACGTTGATGCAGGGTCCCAGGGTTTTGGGCCATCCTCGACTGCTTTCCCAGGCCACAAGCCGGGAGCTGGATGGGAAGCAGAGCTGCCGAGACTAGAACCGGCACTCATACGGCATCCTGGTCCATTCAAGATGAGGACTTCAGCCGCCAGGCCACTGTGCCAGGCCCAGAAAAAAGAAAACTTGATGTTACATTTAGTTGTCTGAAGTGTAGCTAAAAAATTTGTATTGATTTTGTGTAAGAATGAAAAAAGAACTAAGGTTAGGAATAATCAACATAGGAATAATCAACTTTGTCTTTGTGCATTTAGGTTATATCTGAATGTCTGCCTTGCTGCATTATTATTTTTTTAATGTTTATTTGAAAGGTAGAATACTGAGAGAGTGACCATGTAAGATCACGGTCACTGGGGTCACTGCTCTGACATTAGCAGGGAGCTGGATCTGAAGTGGGGTACATGGAACTCGAACCATGCCCATATAGGGTGCAGGCCGATGCTTAACTTGCTGGGCAATAAGGCTGGCCCCTGCCTCATGGCATTGTTGAGGAGAGGTACCTACATTGGGTGATGTTAGGTAGACTTAGTAACCTCAAAGTTTTCTTTTAATTCTAAATCTGAAAGGGGGAAAAAAAAAAACAACCAAATCTGTGATTTAAAAAAAATATGATTAGGGTGAGGAATTTAGCTTATTCAGTAAGAATGTCATAGAGGTTGCAGTGTGAGAAGGGAGGTGTGATTGCTAGATTGACCTCTTAGGATGTTTGCAACTTTGAGAGTCGTGAAAGACTTTGAAAATTTGTTATTAAATGTAAATGACTTTCATAATTCTCTCTGATTTTTAGTAGTGAAATAATTCTTTAAAAATTTTTATTGTGAAAATTGAAATGCAATATTCTACTGATCCTAGATAATGTTTATGGTGCTTGAGGTGAGTACTATCGCAGAAGGTCAGGTGAATACTTTTTACCAAAAAGTGAAGATTGCCAGAGTGACCTAGGGGTTATGGGAAGCGGTAATGAAATATTTCTGTCTCTGGCTTTCATTCCTTTTAAATACAAGTGGGAATTTCTTTAATCTTTCTGTTAAATCAAAGTTAATACTCAGTTCTTTCTTATGAATTATATGTTTCTTAAGCTGAAAAAATTTGAGTTTGAAGAAATGTTTGAAATAATATGCTCTTAAAACTATTGGGCACTTTATCTTACATAGGAAAACCTCTTATGTTTGAAGGTTGTAAAATAGAGGTGGTATGATTTTCTGGCTTAATTTTTAACTGGCTTTAGATTTGTACAATTAAGATATATTTGTTGCTTGTTGGCAATTAGGATTCTGAACTATCCTTGGAAAGTTAGAACTTAAAAAAGAAGTTCTGTAGGTTTGACTTGTCATGTATAGAAAAAATCTGGGCTAGAAGAGTGACTTAAATACATCATGAAGAAACATCTGTTCACATCCAGAATATGAGAAGTTCCACAGGCCGTTTTATCTGGATTCTTTGAAAATTCCTTATCATGAAAAGGAAGAAAGGAGGGTGATCTGTTTAGATGAAGAGAATAGAAAGACACAGCAACCAAATGCTGTTTATAAACATCATTGAATTTGAAGTTTGAGGAAAAAATGTCTGGTAATGACATTATGGAGATAGATAAATTTTAATGTGGACTAATTTAGTGAAACTAAGACATTGTCTGTTTCCTTAGGAATGTAAACAATTTTGTAACCATGGAGAATGCCCTTAGAGTTAAGTGTTGCATGCTTAAGTATTAGTGATGACGTGTCAGGGGAAGAAAGGATGTAGATAGGTTAGAGAAAATAGGACAGAAATAATCAGCTGCTCTTGCATTTACATGAATGGCATATGGCAATTTTTGTATGTTTGATGTTTTTCCATGTTAAACATTGGGGAAAATCTATTACTTAGGAAATTTTATATAAAGCTTTAATGTGAGAAGAGCTTCCTAAGAGTAGTGCATCAGATGGACTAACAGGATTTAGCATTGTTCATTTCTGTGAGCGAAGAAGAGAATGTGTAACATCTTAATTGTCCACATTCTTAAATTTTATTGTATTTGGCATGGTGCACTTGAATTTTCTAGATAAATTTTTTTTCTGCTTCTTGATTGGAAGGATGAGCATACTGGCCTATAGACACACTGACTATGTGAGAAGGAGAGAATTCCTCCCCTTCGGTTCCTTCTCAGATATCTTCAGTGGGATGAAGCCACGAGACAGTAACTCAATCCAGGTCCCACACAAGAGTGGCAGGACTCAGCTCCTTGAGCCTTCACTTGATGCTGCTCTATCCTGCATTGCAAGGAAGCTGGACCCAGTCAGCAAACCTAATCTCTCAGATGTGAGACTCAGGCATATACACTGACGTCTCTCCCCATTCAGACTTTTAAATTCTATTCGTTTGTAAACTAACTTGGAAGACATTTTGTGGAAGCTCTTTAACTTAAGGAAGTTAGTACACATTGCGGTTTAATTTGCCTAGTAGAATGAAAACCATTTGAGCTGTGCTTAGTTACAAACCTAGAAAAAAGTCCATGGGGAAGTAGAAAGTTTCATTTGTAAGAAGAATGTTTAATATTTTAAAGGCTTTCAGAGTGTTTTCAGCAGTTGCTTTGTGGCAAAAGTTTTATATAATTTGAAAATCTAGCCTTTTAAAATTAGTAAAAATCATATATCTTTGCTGCTTGCAGTATCATTGTTTTATAGCTTATTTCTCTGAATTTAACAAAGCTCTTACATTGTTTTATCAGGTGACTTCTGTGAGCTACCTTCTATATAGCTGAAGTCATTATTAAGTAGTACAGTTGTACATGAGAAAAATGATGTGATCTTAGACTTGTACAAATTTCTAAAGATACCAGTTTTCTTTAGCTACTTCAGTTTTAGTGAGAGAAAATGAAATACCACAAAGTTTTTAAACATTTCAATAAGGTGGACTGTTCCATAGTTCCATTGAACTAGTAGTTCCAGTCTGTTTTGTATGAAGTAAGCAGAGCAAATATAAAGAGGTTTTTTCCCCTAAAATTTCCTTTAATTTCCTGGGCAATGATGGGTTTAGTATGAACAACACTTGGTGTGTGGGTGTGCTTTCTGTATAATTATGCTGTCGTGTTAGTCATGTGTCTTTCCTTTTCTGTTCTCTTCCTGGTATTCAGAGTATTTGATTGCTGACACTGGTGGACAACAGCTCTCAATAAGTGATGCCTTCATCAAAGGTAATTTTGTCTGTCAACAACTGTGCATAGAACAGTGTCTTTTGTTTATCAAGGTATATGTATGGTTTTCTATGTTGATGGAACAGAGAATGTGCTGTTTTTTTTTTTTATTATTTTACTATCATGTAAAGAACAGTCTTAATATGTGTAGTGACTTCAGGAATGCTGAGAATTACGATGAAGTCAGGCTCAGCCTGGGAGAAGGAGGTTTTTGATTTGAAAAGTAGTTGTTTCGAAGCTTTGAAATGGAGTTCTGATTCTTTCAGGGGCAGAAATTGCTCATCTTTATGTATAGTACGAATGTTAAGTATTGAGTGTTAAGCGTTACTTAATATGTAATACTATTTTTGCATTAATATTATGTGTTAAGCAATAGTGATATACAAATCATTTAGGATTGTCCAAAAAAAACCCTTGTATGCAGATCTCATCCAGTTGAGGATCCTGCTTTCCTTTCTGGTGTTAGGAAGAGAATGAGCAGGAGGGGGTCCGACAAACTGATTCAGAGAGTCCACTTGTTGCTGATTGACAATACTTCTAAATTTATATCCAGTTATCTTGCTTAATCAAAAGTTTATAGATTGGTTGTTTATATAATTGAAATGCCCTGTTCTTGAACCTCACAAGTCAAGGACACATTTTTTTACTCTATTATTTGTTGGAATTTTTCTTGTTTGGTTTGCTTTAAGAAAGGAGGGGCTAGTGAAATTTTGTCAGCATTTCTTTTTTCCATTCATTCAGAAATAATTATTCATAGTTATTTAGTTAGCTTATTTTTCCCAACACTTATTGTCTTAACATATTTTGACCCCTTTAAAAGATTTTATATCATTTAGTATAAATTATGATTTTACTATTCCTTTATAGTTTATCTTTGGTTCTAACTTATTAAATTTTGTTGAACAGCTTCTGTGCCCTTATTAGGAAAGAAACATCATTAAGGATTGTCTAAATAAACTTTCTTTTTCTTTTTTTTTTTAAGAAAAGAAATAAGTTTTATTTCCTTTATCCACAGTAATTATCACAAATAATAGATTTTCTGATTAAAAATGTTTTGCATTTTAGATAGCATGAAAAGGAAGTGACATTGGAAATATTTCATACTTAGATGATCTATAAAAATAAAAGACATTTTCTTAAAGTGGGTAATCTGTTTTTAATTAATGATGACCCAATTATATCCCAAAGAGAATTGTTACAATAAGTGTTATTCTTTCCAAAATTTCTATGGGCCAATTTTAATAAACTCCTGCCCTTTTACATATTGTTTTATAATACAACTACATACTAGTTTTAAGTTTCTTTTCATAACAGAATAAAAGGAATGAATTGCAGAAATCAGTGAAGAACAACATTTGAGAATTCTCCCATTTTCTTTTTTCAAATGTAAGAAATAAATTCATAGGTTTACACCTACAAAAATGAAACTGAATAGTGGATCAAACAGGAGACAAAATGGATAATGAAATTATTGGAACCATGTTCTTAACTAAGAAAAATGGTTAAGGAAACAGTAGGAAGGTTTTAGTTGAGGGATCATCTAATCAATATGATCATAGTTCTCAGCAAGAGATCGTCTGCCCTTCCCACTAGGGAAAGTTGACAATGCCTGGGGATTTGTTTCATGATTACTACTAGAATGAGTTTCTACCACCATTTAGTAGATAAAAGTCAGGAGTGGTGCTAAAAATCCTAAAGTTCCCATAGTGAAGTGTAACACAAAATGTAAATACTGTCACAGCTGAGAAACCTAACTACTCTAAGAGGACAGAAGGTAAAGTGTGTGAGTATAGAAGCTCATAGTTATTGCTCTGCAGAAATAAGTAGCAAATGAATTCTCACAATCAAACACATCAAAGTGAGAGAAGTTAATCAAGTCAATATAATGGTTGACCACAGATTTTTTTTCTGGTTAAGGAGGAGGAAAGTGGGACACTTAGTAACACTTAGTAAGGGTTTTTTTTTTTTTTTTTCAATGCCGGGTATGTGCTTGCAATGAAGGAATCTCAACTGAACTTGAACTGTGGTTATGCAGCAAGGTGGAGGAAACCACCATGGGGGGAGGTTTGTAGGAGGGGCAGGGGAAATCCCAGTGCCTATAAAACTGTATCACATAATACAATGTTATTAACAATAAAACTAAAAAAAAAAAAAAAAAAAAAAGAAAATATACTGCAAATGGAGTTAAAGAAACTATTTTGGAATTGCAGAAAAAGTTTAAATCCAGGCATATGAAAATTCATGCAAATATGCATTTTGGAAAAACTATGTAGGGGATTTGAAAAATTGCTACAATGAAATAAATTTATTTTTTACTTAAAAAAAAAATAGACTTTCAGTACCATCAGTTGCTGTTTTGGGTTATCTGAGTTTCTCTTTTAGAAGCTTAGCACCTACTCTATAACATGTTCCGCCAGCATGCAGAATTCCATGAATGTAGTGTTCAGTTTGTGATTTTCTGTGAAAAGTAACGCTTCTTTTTTATGTTCCAAACATTGTAAGGAAAAGTACAAAAATCATACTTTATTCAGTTTTTAGGAGAAACTGTTTGTATTATATACTTGAAAGCCTTAATTACTTATGTGTACTTTTCACATTTCTGATTACTGCTATTCTTAATCCTTAGGTATATATGTGTATGTATATATATATATTTATACAAAAATGTATTACATACTTTGTATTTCTGTACTTACATATTATGTGTTCTTGCATTTTTATACCTATAGTTTATATTGTGAAACTGGAAAAAGTTTAAAAAGAAAAATTAGTGATTTCTAAATATATGAATAGATGATGTAAAACTTGCCATTGAATGATAACTCTTTATTTTCTCCTTAGAATCTTTATTTAATCGTCGGGTAGAGGAAAAGTCCAAAGAGCTGCCTTTCACCCCGTTGGGCTGGCATCACAACAACCTGGAGCTCCTGAGGGAGGAGAATGGGGAGAAGCAAGCCATGGAGAGGTTACTGTAAGACAGTGAGCTTTGTCTTTTAATTTTCTGTTTTTATAAATTCAGTGACTTGGTTAGGATTTATCTAGTCTAGGAGTACTAATAAAAGTAAGTCTGTTCTGATTTATGACATTTCTTGCAAAATAGAGTTCCGAGGTGTGCTTATCCTTTTGCGTTTTAACTAATATGTTAATTTCTTTTCAGCAAACTAAAGAGGCTATCAAAAATATTTAGTTTTGCTCTGCAGAATCATTAGGATTCTAAGAGAATCTTATTTTAAAATAATAATTCTGACCTAGAAGATCTTTTCTGAGAACTGTAATTGAAATGTTTATTTGTGGACTGTTATGTTATTTTCTTTGGCAGTGTTGATGATGCAAACTTCCTTCTTTCATTGTTCCTACAGTTCAGCTAATCATAACCACATGATGGCACTGCTCCAGCAGTTACTACACAGTGACTCATTGTCAGCATCTTGGAGGGACATCATTGTGTCATTGGTCCGCCAGGTTGTTCAGACAGTCCGGCCTGATGTCAAGAACCAGGATGATGACATGGATATCCGTCAGTTTGTCCACATCAAAAAAGTAAGCTGTACTTAAGCTTACTAGAAAATGCTATCAGGTCTGATTGTAGTTAGCCTCTTCATGGTTTTCTAAACTCTTTAGCGTAGAAGGGGTGCCAGGTGAGAAGTGGGCAATTTAGCTGTTTTTGTAGGCAGTGTATTTATGGATCATGGAAGCCTGTTACAGGAAGTAAGGGGTGAATGGAATGGGGTGTATCCACTGGTGCATGAGTTGGCAAATCAAGCAAATATAGTTTTTCTTGTTTCCTCTTTTTGACACTCAACTATGGGAAAGCCTGTTTCCATAGATGACTATTACTGTTCTGAGAAAAGAAGTGGGCAGTTGCTTTGGAGTCGATGTGTTGCTCCTTATGATAATCTTTAATAATTGTGTTTTTAATTGCCCTGTGTGCGTTTATTTATTCTGTCAATATTTTAGAGTATTGCATAATACATTTGAGAGTAGGGTGGGGAAAAGAGATGGTCATGCCAGTATACCATTAGTTATTGATTGAAAGAAAGAACTATATCCTAGAATTTTCTGATTTTATTTGATGATTTAACATTTAAAATATGAAAAGAAATTATCATTGAATTTATTATTAATTGTTCCATTAGATCCCAGGTGGAAAGAAGTTTGATTCTGTGGTTGTCAATGGTTTTGTTTGTACCAAGAACATTGCACATAAAAAGGTAATGTGACTCATTTTAATAGTTAAAAAGAGTATGAACATTGAGGGAAACGCATCAGTGACTGCTACAGAGTTGGACATTGTGGAAGTTTAGGGAAGATCTCTGAGAGCTGATTATAAATGGATTGGAATTTGGGTAATGCAACAACTGAGGAAGGCTTGGTTAGTCAGGCTTTGTTGGCCAGGATCTAGACCAGAAGAATGATAGGACACTGGTATCATTTGTCTCCTGACACTGTTACATCTCAGGGAGACTAGGGTTTGTACGAGATTGGAGTGAGTCCTTCCAGAGGCTTACCTTTCTGAAACAATTCTTCCTTCTAGATGAGCTACAGAACTATCAATGTTATTCTAGTACCCTACTCACTTTGTATTTCTCCCCTTCGCCTTGAGGCCTATTCCTAGCACTGACATAGAGCAGTGGGGTGAGACAGCTTGGTGTAAAGGAAACTCTTGGGCTTCTGAGATGGGAAATCGCAGGTGAGACTAGAAGAGGCAGTCAAAGGCAGCATGCTAAGGGTCTTGAACTTTATGCTGAAGGCTTCTGATTCTCACGTTATAGTGCACGTTAGGATCTCCTGCATCTAAGCTCAGCCCCTCAGAATTCTCAGTAGATTTCGGTGAATGGTGATTGGGGTGTGGTAGGAAGTAATAGCACTGAATTAAAAGTAAGCTCTTACAGATGTTTCCAGTACTGTCTGTTGATTCTTAAATTCAGAGAAACCATTGATCTATGACAACATTTTCAAACTGTGTGTGCTTCAGAATCACTGAGGGAGCTTTATACCAGGCCCAGCTCTGGTGATACTGTTATTACAGAGCTTTGATAGATTTCTAGTGTGAGTGACTGGGTTGCAGTCCTGTTTTCACAGGGTATTACAGCCTAACTCAATCAGATGTGGCTTATACCCTGTCTCAGCTCTGTATGCCAGGAGGTGTCGTGGCCTGGTCCGCTTGGTCTGGCCCCAGACCTGACCCACACAAACACTGAAGAGTGCTGTAGCCTTGCCTGGTCTGGCCCACCTCCAGCCCCAGCTGTTGTGCTGGCAGTGGAAGCTGCAGCCTGTTTGGGGAGTTCCCCAAATATTCCTAGACCTGCTCCCAGCTGTGACTCTCAAGTGTGCCAGGAGGCACAGCACTCCAGCTTGGCATGGGCATGGGGTCTTTACATGTGCTAGTGGGTGCTTCAGCCTGGCTCCATGCACCCTTTCCCCAGCCCTAGCTTCTGTGAGTGTTAGATGGGTTCCTGTCAGGTGAGTTCTGTTGTCCAGCTTGGCCCAGTAAATCACTGCCACCACCTTTCTGCATAAACCAGTAGATGCTGCAGTCACACAGAGGCAACCCCACAACTCTTCTCAGAATCTGCCCCCAGATCTGATTCTCTTGCATTCTGGTCGGTGCTGCGACCTAACCTGATGTGGCCCACCACCTGCTGGTGGATACTGCAACCTGGGTAGGTGCCTTGGCCTGACCCAGGCAAGCGCTCTTGTTACCCTCCTCTAAACCACTCCATCTCAGCTCCCTCTTCTGCCTGCAATTGCAGTGATCTGGTTTGTGGAAGATCCCAGAAGTTATTCCTGCCCTGTCAAACATGCCGTCAGCTATTGGTTCTCCAATATGTTCCCAGTCCTTGGGCAATCTGTAGCTCTTCCAACCCCCAGCTCCCTGTCTGTGGTCTGGCATGACATGTCTTGGCCTGGCACTCCCTGCCTTCCCTACACCTTAAAAAAAAAAAAGAATAAGCAACTATGCTGCCATACTAGTATTGTTAATATAAATTTGGCATGAACTAGGTCCAGAATGCCTCCAGCTACTGGCTGTTTTTCTACCAGCAGTGTAACACTTGCCTAGGTACAAGGCAATCTGTGCAGTTGCCTAGAAATGGGTGAATGTTTTCTGTGAAATTTAAGAAATTTCTGTTTTCTTGAAGCCATGAATGTGAAACCTATGGATACAAAATCCAACTGCATTTTGTTTTTTGTAATGCATTAAGCCTCCAGAACAATCCGTGTTAACCATAGATAAATAAAAGTGTACTTGGATTCAATGTTAATTTTATAACAAGTCATTTAAATTAGTGTTTTAAACAAATTATGAGAATACTATAAAACCTAAATGAGAGTATATTAATATTTGAGACACTTTTAGTAGAATTTATATATGTATATATGTATATTTAAGTATTTATTTGTTTTTATTGCAAAGTCAGATATACAGAGAGGAGGAGAGACAGAGAGGAAGATCTTCCATCCAGTGATTCACTCCCCAAGTGACCACAATGGCTGGAGCTGAGCGACCCAAAGCCAGGAGCCCAGATCCTCTTCCTGGTCTCCCCTGCAGGTGGAGGGTCCCAAGGCTTTGGGCCGTCCTTGACTGCTTTCCCAGGCCACAAGCAGGGAGCTGGATGGGAAGTGGAGCTGCCAGGATTAAAACCAGCACCCATATGGCATACCTGTGTTTTCAAGGCGAGGACTTTTAGTTGCTAGGCCACCCCTCTGGGCTGAATTTAAACAATATTAATGTTGATTAAAGGAGATCTGGGCCTGGCACAGTGGCCTAGTGGCTAAAGTCTTCACCTGATTGCGCCTGGATCCCATATGGGTGCCGGTTCCAATCCTGGCAGCTCCACTTCCCATCCAGCTCCCTGCCTGTGGCCTGGGAAAGCAGTTGAGGATGGCCAAAAGCCTTGGGACCCTGCACCCATGTGGGAGACCCGGAGGAGATTCCTGGTTCCCGGTTTCGGATTGGCTCAGCACTGGCTGTTGTGGTCACTTGGGGAGTGAATCACTGGATGGAAGATCTTCCTCTCTGTATATCAGACTTTGTAATAAAAATAAAAAAAATAAATCTTAAGAAAAAAAAGATTAAAGGAGATCTATAAAGAATAAAACTTTAATAAAGTGTTATTTTTTTGTAGATGAATTCTTGTATTAAAAACCCCAAAATTCTTCTGTTGAAGTGTTCCATTGAGTACCTTTACAGAGAAGAAACCAAGTTTACTTGCATTGATCCTATTGTGCTTCAGGTGAGAACTGAACCTACTGACAGAAGTTTGTGTACTCTACTGCTTACTCTTTATTTCGCTCATTCTAGCTCATTGAATTTGCTAGAAGAATGCTGCTTTTGTTGTATTTTAAAACTTTATTGTCACATCATTTTATATTTTACCCTTTAGAATTAGTGTACCCAAACGTCTATCACTCATTATTTTTAAAACTTCCAAGTGGGAAGAGTAACAGGTTATTGTTGGGAATATAGTGAAACGTGCAAATACTGATATCTCTTTCCCGCTTGTACCATTGATATAATAGGAGAATCTGTGACTTATTAGATTTCTAGTGGAATCTCCATTTTTGTCATGTTTCACTTAAGTGTGTGTTTGGAACACCTGTTAACTTTTATGTAGCTGGCAAGTAGGGGATTAATAGCAGGTGGAAATATTGTAGGTTATTTCTTGGTTTTCTAAAGAGGGCCCAGAAGAACTGCTGTAGGATTCTAACACTCAGCTGGAAAGGAGAGGAGCCTCAGCTGCTCCCACAGCAGGAGCACTTTCAGACTTTTCTAAGAAATTGGATATGAACTTCTGCTTGCAGGCCTGTCTCTTCAGAGCGGCAAGCCAGGGGGACTGCTGGAAGCTCTTCTCCTGTGAGCTCTGGTTTCTGTTGTACTATTGCAGCTGCTTTCATACAGCTTTTTGTTTTAAATATTTTTTTAGTTATTTAAAAGGCAGTTACAAAGAGAAGGGGAGATACAGGGAGAGGTTGACCAATCATCTGTAGTGGTTCATTCCCCAAAGTCCACAGTGGCTTGATTGGGCCAGACCAAAGCCAGGAGCCAGAAACCCCATCTAGGTCTCCTATGTAAGTGGCACAGGCCCAAGCACCCGGGCCATCTTCCAGTGGTTTCCCAGGTAAATGAGCTAGAAGCTAGATTGGAAGTGGAGCAGCTGGGACCTGAACCAGTGCACATGTGTGATTACCAGTATAATAGGCAGTTACAAATGCCGCAGCCTTTTGTGCCATTTTGATTTGCCTTCAGGCAACAGACTGAACTGTGAATCTGTCCTTCCCAAATCCTTTCTTAAGAAACCATGTATTCACTTGAGCAAGACCCTTGGAGCATGCCCCACATCAGGGACCTGGGGAGGGGGGTGGGAGACTGGGTGGGGCTTCCCCCTTAAAATCCCCCTTTACCTCAGATACATGAAGGAAACAATATGGAAATAGTAGGCTTACTCACTTTCCTGTAGCCCTTGAACCTTTTTACCCTCATTAACTATGTAAAGATTGTCAAAAATGTAATTTAAAAAATGAAAAAAAGAAACCATGTATTATTTTTCTTACTGCACCAACTTTTTGTCTCACAGATGCTGTTAATTTTGGTTTTTGATCACTCCAAGTGTTGGATTTTTAGGGTTATATATTCTTCTTTTTTTTTTTAAAGACTTATTTATTTTTTTTTTTTTAAAGATTTATTTTTATTATTTTTTCATTGGAAAGGCGGATATACATTTTATTATTTTTTTATTGGAAAGGCGGATATACAGAGAGGAGAGACAGAGAGGAAGATCTTCCGTCCAATGATTCACTCCCCAAGTGAGCGCAACAGCCAATGCTATGCCGATCCGAAGCCAGGAGCCTCTTCCGGGTCTCCCACACGGGTGCAGGGTCCCAAAGCCTTGGGCTGTCCTCAACTGCTTTCCCGGGCCACAGGCAGGGAGCTGGAAGGGAAGCGGGGCTGCCGGGATTAGAACCGGTGCCCATATGGGATCCTGGGCGTGCAAGGCGAGGACTTAACCACTTGCGCCACTGTGCCGGGCCCCAGGGTTATATATTCTTTATTATAGTGGAAGCATTTATACTAGCTTCCTAAAGCATTTAGGAAGATCAGTTTGTGAAAATTCACTTTTCCAAGAATGATAAAAGCAATTACTTTGGACTGAGTTTGTAGATACCAACAAGCAAGCAGGAGTTGCAATGAAACAGTGCTTTGTGAAATCCGCTGTTACTTAAAGAAAGCTGTTAACAGGGGCTTTTGTAATACAGCTGCATTGTCAGCTGAAAATGAGAGGAAAATGAGAGACTTGACTAGGTTTATACCAATCTTTCTAGCTCTGATTTACTATGAGTTTTCAGTAGAGAACTTCCAAGGAATACAGGAGAAGTATAATTATAATTTTTTATAGAATCTATGGTACTTTGGTATTGCAGTTTTGTTGATGTCTCAGAGGGTACAGGCAGAAGAGTCTTATAGAATTACATTGCAACTGCACTAATTTTAAAATGCATCGTGGTTGAAGAGATGTTAAAATGTATAAAATAGCATGTTTTGGAATTGTTGAACTAGAATAATTGAAATCCACAGATATAGAATGTTATACTTAATCAGCATTATTACTGCTCCTGTTTTGTGATCAGGTTTACAGTATTTTTGTTAGTGAGGTATGCTGTGGGCAGGTATGTACTTAAAAGACATAAAGCAACGTGTTCATCAGTGCTTTCAGACATAGTTTTATTCTGTTAAACCTTTTAGTAATTTATAGAAATGTCAGTGATTTGAGTTTCTGATTTTTCTTTTCTATTGTCTTAGTGTGAAATAGCTACTCAAACAAGATGTTGAAATGTAGTAGATAGTCAGAAAAGTAAGAATGAGAAAGGCCAGGTAAGGAGACGGTTAGCCTGTGACTTCACCCTGTCTTCCTATGGCTGGATTTACCAGATCTGTTGGCCACTTCTCTGCTTGATGTTCCTTCTGTGTTGACCTTGGACCAGACTTCCTTTTTAATGTGGTGCTTCACATTCAGGTTTCTTCCTTTGTTCCTTCCTTGCTTCCTTCTTTCAGGATTTGTTTTGAAAAGCAGACTTAGGGAGAAGGTTGTAGAAGGAGAGAGAGGAGAGATCTCTCTCATCCATTAAATCACTTCCCAAGTTACCATAACAACTGGGCTGGCCTGACGGGTACTAGAACCCTAGAGCTCCATCTGCAAGTGGGGTCTAACCATTTTCTGCTGCTTTCCCCAGTGCATTAGCAGGGAGCTGAATTTGAAGTGGAGCAGTGGCAAATTGAACTAGTTCTCATACACAGTGTGGGCATTACAGGCAGTGGTGTAGCTTACCGTGCTGCAATACCAGCCTCCACTTGTGGTCTTGATAGTTGATTAAAATTATAACTAAGAGGAAGTTTGTCATCCTTGTACCAGAATCAGAAACTTGAAGAAAAAAGAATTAATTTATACTTCATTAGAGCCAAGCAAATAAATGCTGTCACATTACAACTTACTACATAAATACATTAATACACTTCAGGAAAAAATAATTTATTTTATTAATAGAAAAGCATAGTTTTTAATCACTAAAACAGAAAGGTGAGATGAAAGATACTCCTAAACCAGGCAGATTCAATGCTGGGAATATGTAGGCTATCTGTTCCTGGTGGCAGTGAACAGACACTTGTTTGAAACATCAGGACGGAGTAACAGATATGCTCACTCCTAGTTATCATCTAGAGCCCAGAAGTTTTGTAAAGCAGTGTAGCCTTTTGGTGAAATTATATCAAACACTGTATTTTAACTGTTGTAGAGTATGGTCTCTTGGGAGATTGGGATTAGTACGTAGTTGAAAAGTATGTTACAAAATTATTATTATTTAGGTAACTGGCAAAAGAGATACTCTGGTTGATTTTACAATGTAAAAGAGAATCCACAAAGAAAAACATATAGAAATAGTTTTGGCTTTGGGAGTCATGAGGTTGTTTTGATTTTGCTTGTGTTTTTAACATCTGATAGTTAGCCAGTTAGATTCTTGGCCTTTCTATTTTAGGTTATTAAGAATTGAAAATCCTTCAAAGTTTTACTTTGACTAATTTTTAGTAGTAGTATGGAATTTCCCTGCAACTCTTTTCTGCATAATCAGCAGTTGAAAATAATGGATGGATTTTTATTTGTGTGGGAATTAATTTGTTTTTAGATTTATTTGTGAATGAGGAAAACTAAGGCTGAGTTTAATATTGATAGTGAAGCTATCCTGATATGTCCAGAACTTGAAATGTATCAGGGATAATATTTCTAATTTTTTTTTCTGATTTATTTTGCTTAGGAAAGGGAATTCCTGAAGAATTATGTTCAGCGAATAGTTGATGTTCGACCCACGTTGGTTCTGGTTGAGAAGACAGTGTCTCGGATTGCCCAGGACATGTTACTGGAACATGGCATTACTTTGGTTATCAATGTAAAATCAGTGAGTGGTTTTTCTATTTTAAATCCATAGCTGATGTATATGAATGATATGTGGCAGATAGATTGAAATTTTTTGTTGTTGTTGCACCATATATATTCAAAGTAGGAGAGAAGGTATGGTAACTGTTTCATTGTTTAAGATTGAAGAATCTTACCTCAAAAGAATCTGCAATTGTTTTATAAACCTTATTGTAGGTTTCTGCATGATTGAAGTAAAAATGGATATTAGTCAGGAGATGTTTTTGGTCCTTAATTTTTGTTAAGGAATTGTAATACAAATAAAATGTTCTCAAAAAATTTGCCTGCTGTAGATTAAGGACCAATTTGAGCAAAGTTTTGTTTTCCCTACAAAATCTTGTGCTAATATTTATTGCTTAAATGCCTCTCGGTAATGTTGATATGATTATGGTTTGTTAAAGTAGGCACATTGATTTTAGCAATTAGCTGTGGTCTAATATAGTGTACAAAAATTGTTCTATAATTATTAAAATTAAGGACTTCATTGAGTTTTTAAAAAATTTCTCATTAAGTGTTCTGGATGAAATTTGTAAAATATTTTTTATCTTGTCTAATTTTGTAATGTGTTTCACTCTGTTGTAGCAAGTTTTAGAAAGAATCAGTCGTATGACACAAGGTGATTTAGTAATGTCAATGGATCAGCTGCTTACAAAACCACACCTGGGCACTTGTCACAAATTTTATATGCAGATATTTCAGTTGCCTAATGGTGAGTAATCTTGGAAATAAATTCACTGAAGAAATGAGTTAACTTCTATACTACAGTGTTTACTTAGTACAAAATATGTGTAAGGAGTAGTTAAATGAGAATGGGCGATTGATCTTACTCATGCAAGGCCTTTTCTTATGTAGATAATGGAATGGTTAAATATTTCTGACTAGACTGATGGATTGACAATTGAACCTTTTTATTTGTTTCCTTGTAGAACAAACTAAAACACTGATGTTTTTTGAAGGCTGTCCACAACACCTGGGCTGTACAATCAAGCTTAGAGGAGGCTCTGATTATGAACTGGCTCGAGTTAAGGAGATCCTGATATTTATGATTTGTGTAGCTTATCATTCTCAGCTGGAGATCTCTTTCCTCATGGATGAATTTGCTATGCCTCCAACGTTAACACAAAACACTTCATTTCATTCTCTGATTGAGGGGCAGGGTGATGAGGAGACTGTACAACAGCAACACAGCGGAAGTTCTCTCCCTCAGGATCCTGACTTCCTGCCGGAGTCTCTGACTTCTGATGAGAGCAATTTGCTGGAATCAAGGATTGTGTCTGAGAAGAGTGAGCAGGAAAACAAAGGCATCCCCGAGGCTGTTGCCTCTTTGAAGCCTCAAGAATGTGGCACAACAGCTTGCCCAGCAGGCATCCCCTGTGCTCTCTTCCAATCTGTACCAGAATCGCTGTTGCCGCTTCATGTGGATGACCCTGAGCGTAGAGCGGACAGTGAGCAGCCAGAGACTTTACAGCAAACAGATGAGCCACAGGCTCCCAGAAGCCAAATGAGAACCTTTAGAGACCCTCTGCAGGATGACACTGGATTATATATCACCGAGAAAGTCGCCTCCTCTGAAGATAAACGAAAGACTTACTCTTTGGCCTTTAAGCAGGAATTAAAAGATGTGATCCTATGTATTTCCCCAGTAATCACTTTCCGTGAACCCTTCCTTTTAACTGAAAAGGGGATGAGGTGCTCTACCCGTGATTATTTTGCAGAGCAGATTTACTGGTCACCTCTCCTTAATAAAGAGTTCAAAGAAATGGAGAGCAGGAGAAAGAAACAGCTGCTTAGGGACCTCTCTGGACTTCAGGGCATGAATGGAAGCATCCAGGCCAAGTCTATTCAAGTCTTACCTTCCCATGAACTAGTGAGCACTAGAATAGCTGAGCATCTGGGTGATAGTCAGAGCTTGGGTAGGATGCTGGCTGATTACCGAGCCCGAGGAGGAAGAATTCAGCAAAGAAACTCAGACCCTTTTGCTCATTCCAAGGATACATCCGTTATTTCCAGTGGCAAATCAGGAAGCAAAGTGGAAAGTGATGAAGAGAGAGGATTGTCCATAACTGACGCAGTATGGTCAGCAAAGGTGAGGCTGACTGCTTCTGCATGCTCATGTAAATTTAGAGCAGGTTGAAAAACTGTGCTGTGGTAGGATAAAAAGGCATGCCAAATTGCATGCAGATTTAAACACTTCTTCTGTGGTTTTTCTTTGTCTTGAGTCTCCTAGATCGAGTGTTGCTTCAATTTGAAGTAGGTCTGAAACAGTCAGTTGGATTTTGCCGTTTTAACATGAGCCCTAAGTTAAGGAAAGCATGGAGCTACTCTGTGGTGTGGGTGTACTCTGATGTGTCCTCCATCCTTTGGTTTTAGTGACACAGAGAATTAGAGATGAAAGCCTGTGTAGAAAAGCAATGTGCTTAGTAAAAAAATATTTTTTTATGTAAAGGAAAATTTCGTGCTGTTAAATAATGTTTATTGCTAATTCCAATGATGACAATTGACTCCCCCCTCCCCCCCAAGATTTCTTTATTTGAAAAGCCAATATTGCATAGAGGGAAGATATTGTCCATTTGCTGCACCATTCCTCAGATGGTACCATGGTCAAGGATGAATCTGCATGAATCCAGGAACCGGGACCTCCATCTGGATTCCCATGTGGGTGTCAAGGGCTCAGACTCTTGGACCATCTTCTCTTGATTTTTCCAGGCCAACAGTAGGAAGCTAGATTGGAAGCACAGCAGCTGAGACTCGATGCATTGCCCATATGGAATGACAGAGGTGCAGCTAAAGCCTTATCCACCAGGTGTTGCAATGCTGGCTCTGGTCTTTGTTCTTTTAATGACAAATTGAAGACACATTCTAAACACAGTGGTGATATAATACATCTTATAACAAATCTAGTTACAGAAGTTAATCTTATGAACAAATTCACTTCAAAGCAGGGAAATCTAGTTTAATAAAAAGGTCAATTTCACTGGTAGAGAAATGCTCAGTAATAGTGGTATTTACAGAATTTTTAATTTGTGAGATTAACAAAAGCCAAAGTAATAGAAGAGATATGCATAGTTAATGAGAGTTGGGAAGATCTCTTTCTTAAATGTTATATAAATATATAGAAACTTAAGTGGTAGGGAAATGTGTTCATCACCATGTATATATCTGTGTCATTAATCTTAATCTGTGCAAATTATTAAGCGTGTGTGTTTAAGGATGCTTGTATTTTCCAGGAGTGTATGAATATGCACAAGGATGTATTGAACTATTGTTTCTCATTTTGCTGCAAAAACGGATTATGTAATAACCTAGATAGAGCCCTTGACATATTAAGTGTTAAAAACAACTTCTACTTTAATATATGTGGCATCATCTTATTTTTATAAAAGCAAACCCAATCTCAGAAATACAAACTTATATTGTATGTGAATATGGATGTGTACATGAGAAAGAGACAGAAGAGAAAACGAAGGGACTAGCAAAAAAGAATCGAATGTTTTAAAACTATTTATTGAAACTACATAGCTTGGGAGAGGTAGAGTGGTCTCCAAAGGGGAGGCATTATCTGTTGCATAAACCTTACCATATACCTATGATCCAAATTTTAATGGAGCAGATGTTACCTTTGCAATTGATTACAATTGCAATTGTATGAGATACAGGTAAATAAGTATGTGAGAATTGATCTTGAGACATCTCATTTTGATATTGTATCCAGCCATCAACTCAGACTCTTTCTTTTTTTTTTTTTTTAAAGATTTATTTATTTATTGGAAAGTCAGATATACAGAGAAGAGGAGAGACAGAGAGGAAGATCTTCCGTCCGATGATTCACTCCCCAAGTGACCACAACAGCTGATGCTATGCCAATCTGAAGCCAGGATCCAGGAACTTCTTCCGGGCATCCCACACGGGTGCAGGGTCACAAAGCTTTGGGCCGTCCTCCACTGCTTTCCCAGGCCACAAGCAGGGAGCTGGATGGGAAGTGGAGCTGCCGGGATTAGAACCGGCACCCATGTGGGATCCCAGGGCGTTCAAGGCGAGGACTTTAGCCGCTAGGCCATGCCGCCAGGCCCAACTCAGACTCTTGTAAGAAAATGTTAACTAAATATATTCAGTTTTATAAAGAAGGACACATTATTTAAACATCTGCATTTTTAAGTTCAGCATAGCCTTTTTGGATTGTAGAGTATTTAGACCCTAACCTTAAAAAATTTCTGTTATTATTTTTTTAAGTCAAGAGTTACAGAGAGAGAATTAGAGATTGTCCATCCACTGCTTTACTTCTCAAATGGTGGCCAGAGCGGGGCTGGTTCTAAGGAGCTAGAAGCTTCTTCTGGGTCTTCCATGAGAGTTCAGGGGTCCATGCACTCCAGCTATCTTCTGTTACTTTCCCAGATGCATTGGTAGGGAGCTGATTGGAAGTACAGCAGCTGTGACTTGAACTGGCACCTATGCGTGTGGCACCACAGGCGCTGGCTCTTTTGATGTGGTTTTAAATCCTTACCAGGATTTGTAGTGATCTGTAATGATCTGTAATGATGCTGGAAGGTGTTACCGCAACAGTGAGCTCTGTCCCATTTAGAGGGATGCTCTGAGGTTGGAATGTGCTCTGAAGTGTAGTTGCACATGTGTTCCTTCTCTTGCAGGTGGACTGTTTGAACCCTGCTAACCACCAGAGACTATGTGTTCTCTTCAGCAGTTCCTCTGCCCAGTCCAGCAATGCTCCCAGTGCCTGTGTCAGTCCTTGGTAAGACTGTTGTCTGCTTAAACTGTTTCACTTAAGAATAATTCCCAACAACTTAAAATTGCCAATAGATGTTTTTAGGTACATGGCACACTGCCGGTCATATGTGAACTGTGTAAATGTGTGAAATATGAAATTTGTGTTTATTTGTGCGTGTAGGTCAGTGAGAGTATTTAAAGAGTCAGAAAATTGAGGTGTAGAAGAGAAATTTGTACTTAAAAAGGTGAAAAAGTTAACATACAAAGGCTAGTTTCTAAATATTTTGATGATAATATATGTGTTTAGGTAGTGTTTCCTTTCAGGCATCATTTTTTTGAAAGATTTATTGACTATTATTTGAAAGATTTACAGAGAGCAAAGGAGAGACGGAGAATTTTCTATCTGCTGGTTCATTCCCTAAATGGCTGCAACAGCCAGGGCTGAACCAGTTCGAAACCAGGAGTCCAGAACCAAGAACCAAGAGCTGCTTCTGGGACCCTCAAATAGCTTAGGGGCCCGAGGACTTGAGCCATCCTCTGTTGGTATTCCAGGGTGTAAATTGAGAGCTGGATGATCTGGGATCCCAATTGGTGGCAAAATAGGATCCCAGCACCATGGACTGAGGCTTATGCTACTGCTCCAGCCCTATTAGGCATCATTTTTAAGAGAGCAGTGAACCTTTTTTTTAAATAATGGGTTTTATTCTAAAACTTAATTCTAAATAGGTTGCTGGAAAATCACATTTTACATTGCTACAAATTATATGGTCACATATAAATATTATAATATGTTTTTATGTTACTTTTGGTTTAAAAAATAGTACAGAACATATTTGGCTTTTTCTGAGGCACTATTTCCATGAGCAAATGTGCTAGATGTTTTCATGTTTGATGTCAGGAATGCGCATTTCCAGCAGAGAGACAATAGATTGTTCCAGAAGCCTTATAGTTTTATCAGGCTGACTTCAGGTTGGGGAGCCCAGGCCATATGGACTCCTTCAGTCCATGCTTGAGCAAGAAGTGGGTTTCAATGGATAAAACCAGATACACTTATTTATGTGTGTTTACAAGTTAGTTAGAAAGTTAGGAATTTGCTCTTTTGCAAGAATGTGAGCTGCTATTTTCCATGTTTATTAAAAGTGTATTCTACAGAACATGAGACATTGAGTCCAATTTATGTTGACAGGGCTTAAGATTCTGTGAAGGAAATTATTAGCTCTTTCTAACTCAACTCAGTCTTGCTTAATTAACATTACACCTTATACATACTTACATACCAAATAGTTTTATAAGCCCATGAGTGGAAAAGGGTCTACAGCATGATTAATATAAAGTTTTTCATTGGGTGAAGCAAATTCTGTCCCATAGCCACATCAGATAGTACCTGCCTAAGTGTCTCATTGTAAGTACATTTGGTAGGTAATCAGAATGTGTGGTCTTATGAAATGTCTTGGTTGTTTGCCTTTCTTATGTCTTTAAAAAGCAGTCTTTTCCTTTAGGATTGTAACAATGGAGTTTTATGGGAAGAATGATCTTACGTTAGGAATATTCTTGGAAAGATACTGTTTCAGGTAAGGGAAGATTTCTGCTTTATGTTGCATTATGCATTTAAAATATGTATTTTTCACACATAATTGTGTATGGTTGTGGAGCACAACATGGTACTTTTGATTTTTGTATAATTTGTGTAATAATCACTTAGGGTGAGTGGCATATTTATCACCTTGAAACAAGTATTTTTTCTTTTTGGTGAAATCCTTCAAAATTCTCTTTTACATTGCATTTTTGAAATATGCACTAGATTTCTGCCTCAGTTATGATACTGTGTGATAGAAGAACAGAACTTACTCTTCTTGTCAAACCTTGGCATTGTACCCATGCATTTTTTATGTGCAGAATTGCTAACCAAAACAAACATGAGCAGTATTTCATCACATGATTCTCAGTTTCATGCCATAGATCACAGTATAATCTAGTATCTGTTCAGAGTGGGATGTTCATCCAGTATATTCCTTATACCTGCCCATCTCATTTCCCTGCCATCTTGAACCAAGACTTTTAGAATACTGTTTTTTGCAGCGATTCAAATGAGAGTAAGGGAGACATTGGATTCAGCTAGACCTGGGTTTCTGTCTTAGGGCTATCACTTGCCATTTACATGGCAAAGAGCAAGTAATTCCCGTCTATAGGGATTAACAATCTTCTGTGTCAGGATTTTATTGGATAAAATCAAATGCTTTAAAATTATTTGACAAATAAAAGGTACTTAACAAGTAGAAACTGTTACTGTGTTTGTGTTTGAAGACAGGCTGCTTAGCTGCAGCTCAGAGGAGCGTGGGTCCCTGTACAGATGGCCAGTAGTCACTGCTCCTCTATGGAGGATGCTGCCCGTCCTTGACAGTGGTTCTAATTAGCCAGTCTTTCTTATATGTGCCTTCTTTGTTTCATACTTACTGTGAGAAGGAATTTCTTGTTTGTCAAAGGCCTTCTTATCAGTGTCCTAGTATGTTCTGCGATACTCCCATGGTGCATCACATTCGGCGCTTTGTCCATGGCCAAGGATGTGTGCAGATAATACTGAAGGAGTTGGATTCTCCGGTACCTGGTTATCAGCATACAATTCTCACATATTCCTGGTGTAGAATCTGCAAACAAGTAAGTAGATCCTATCACTGTTCTTTGTCACTTATGTCTTTATTTGTGTAGTTCTTTTAGGGTAAGAAGATGCTTTGTATTACTTTATAGTTTGTTAACGTGTTCATTGCATTTTATGTTTCATTGCTATAAGTTTAGTATTTGTTTTTTGAACATTCTATTTTAGGAATTTATGTCATTACATAAAATGCAAGTGCTTTATATGGTAAAATATCTGGAGATCATATCTTGACAATTCCCAATTGTGTTCGTTTATTCATTCAACAGACATTTATTAGTACTTTTTATGTGTCAGAAACTGTGCTAGACGTCAGGAATGAAATAAGGATCAGGAATTTCTTCTGTCTTCTAATGGAAATAGTTTTATAAAATAATAACTTTAGTATATTGGGATGTTTTTATAATGAATTTGAACCTATGTTTTAGATGGTACAGGTGAGACCATGTTAAAATAGATCTCTACTGGTTTTCAGTACATTCGTGAGAAAGGAAGTTTATGTTATACATCTTTTGTGTGCCTTTCTTTAATATTCTAACTCTGGTGTAAGTGCCTAGTGCCAGTGTCATGTTTTTGAGATATAATTTTTGTTGATTATTTGAATATGTATACAATTCAGCTCATTGTTATTTGACTTATTTTAAAGTATATTGGAAAGCATTTAGAAATTGTGGATAGCAATAGTGAGGTCTGTATTAATATCAGTTGTTAATGCAAAATGAAAGTTGGCTCCTCCTGAAGCAACAAACATGAAATTATTCTAGTAGTTATTGGTCTTTATTTATTTCACTTGTTCTTATAGGTCTTTAGTTTCCATTAGATAGCTAGTAATGAGGAGTCTGTAGTAAAAGAAACAAATTTTTTGCAGCATTATAAGTTTATTTAACATTTTTTTCACAATTTTTTTTGAAGTATCCTGTATTTTGTTGCAGAATTCATGTATTTTTTAAGCCACACTTTTTATATGAACTTTTTGATAACCCATCATGTCTATGGCCCTCCCACCCTGAATGCGCCCAATCTTGTCTGATAACCCATCATAAGAAGTTTTAGAAGTTTTGATCTAAAATAACACTTTTCATTCAATTTCTCACAACTTTTTTGAATTACCTTTGTATATGAAATCTAGATTGATGGTTACAAAGTTCTAGTTTCAAGAAAATTATATATTAGCATACTTAAATACTAATAATCAGTTTGTGTAAGCCATGATAATAGAAAAATAGAAGTCATGACAAAGGAATTTAATATAAATAGTGAGACATGCAAATACATATTACTTACTAGTAGTCAAAAAAAGCCTAAATGAAAATAATAAACTGTCTTTAATAATTTATTAGCTGATAAATCACATTTCAGAGGCTTATAATTTTTAAGGTTAATATGAAAATGAGAAAATTGAGAGAAAATAAGATTTGGAGGAATAGGGTAAGGACACGTTTAAGCAGAAGATCATTAGCCAGGGCAAAGCAGAAAGGGCTCTATGGTGGGAAATAGGAGAGGATGGGTAGAGGGACACCTGGAGATCTGTGGACATGGGGAAGCAGCAGAGTTAGTGGAGTGGTATTGCAGTAATCAGATACTCTGCGATCAGTGATCAGAACTCCACCAGTGGTCAGGTGAGAAGGGGAGTTTACTGGGAGTTCAGGATGTGTACCCAGGCATAGAAAAGCCCAATCTGCTGATTCGCTTGCTCCAATCACAAGTAGAAGTAGAGTGGCAGAGTCCAAGCAGGTGGGTGCTGGAACAAGGTGGATTTCACAGCTCAGATCCTCACCTGTGCCACATTAGGTGCCATTTTGTTACTGAGGAAAAAGCTGTAGGGCTGAATCAACATCAATGAGCCATACTCATTGTACAGGTACTGAGCCAGGAGAGAACTTATGTCTGGCTCAGCTTATTTTATTGGTCTCACAGGGAAAATAGTACCAAAGTGGCATCCTGGGAGTTTACCCAAAACAGGTCCAGTTCGCCCTCAGACCTAACAGCCAGCAGGTTTCAGGCAAGACAGGCACCACTGACAATCCAGAGATTTAGGACAGCTGGTGTCTTCCTAATCCCAGGTACTGCTTGAACTTGGAGAAATGCTGTGCAGACAACAGTGCAGCTATTAGCACAGGATTAGAGGGGTTGGAAAGTGATGTGCTAGGAGCTAGAGCTATGGAAACAGTGGTGGAAGCCTTGCATAAGAGTCCCGGAATGAAACCTGGCAGAGGGAGTGACATTAAGACTGCAAATGAAGAAACAGGTACCAAACAGAATCAGCAAAATCAACCTGTAGACCAGTGGGCAACATAGGTTAGAAAGCAGCCCTAAGGAAAGGAATCTGCTAACCAAAATAGTAGTGACCAAGGGCAAGACACAGGTGCGCGTTGAATATTAGTGATGCCTCCGCCACAAAGGAGCAAGTCTTCGTCAGCCTCAGAGTTCACTGAGGAAGACATTGAGAAAAAGGGGGATAAAGAATTTTAAAAACTTGTTATAAAGCTTCTTAACAACAAGAAGCAAATACAGCAGTCCAAGGAATTTAAGGAATATGTTACATAGGAAATAGCAGCAGTGAATTGAATGAAAGCTGATATATTAGAAATTAAAACACAGTGGAACAAATTAAAAATCTGGAGGAAAGCCTCAATAGAATGAGCAAGGCAGAAGGAAGAATCTTAGAATTGGAAGACATTTCCTTCAACGATGATGAAACAACCCAAAAGCTTGAAGAGGAACTGAATCAAGCTAAGCAAAGTGCTCAAGAATTAAAGGAAACTATTAAAATATGGACCATAAGACTCATGGGAATTCCAGAAGGCACAGAAAGAGAAGCGAGGTTTAAAAATGCATTCAGTGAAATAATAATGGGAAATTTCCCTAATTTGGAGAAAGAATTGGGAAGCAAAATACAGGAGGGATGCAGAACTCCAAATAGGGTTGACCAAAGTCATCTTTGCCATGACACAAACTCTTTTTGGTTGAACACAAGGAAAAGATCCTTAAGTATACATGTAAAACAATCAGTTAATATATGGAAGAACCACAGTCAGATTTACTGCTGACCTCTCAGAGGAAACTCACAGGCCAGAAGAGAATGGAGTGACGTTTTCCGATTCTAAGAGGAAGAAATTGTCAGCCCAGAATAACTTACCTAGCAAAGCTTTCCTTTGTCTTTGAAAATGAAAGAAAATTCTTTCACAGTAAAAAGATCAAAGAATACACCTCTTGCAGTCCTGCCTTACAAGTGACACTTACAGAAATGTTCAGTTGGGCCCAGCACACTAGCCTAGTGACTAAAGTCCTTGCCTTGCATGTCCCTGGATCCCATATGGGCACTGGTTCATGTCCTGGCTGCTTCACTTCCCATCCAGCTCCCTGCCTGTGGCCTGAGAAAGCAGTGGAGAACAGCCCAAAGCCTTGGGACCCTGTACCCACTTGTGAGATCTGGATCGGCTTAGCTCTGGCCATTGTGGACACTTGAGGATTGAACCAGTGATGAAAGATCCTTTCTTGGTGTCTCCTCTGCACTGTAATTCTGAATTTCAAGTAAATAAATAAATCTTAAAAAAAAAATGCGGTCTGATGACAGAAAAGGAATAATACCTTCCAAAACCAAAAGCAAATATGAGAATGTCCAATAAAACAACAAAAGAAGTCTAAATAAAGGAAGAATCCATTGCTAAAATGACAGGATCAAATTACTACCTATCAGTATTAACCCTGAATATAAATGGCTTAAACTCATCAGCCAAGGGTCATAGATTAGCAGACTGGATCAAAAAACAAAGCCCATCCATCTGTAGCCTACAGAGACACATCTTAGAACAAAGATTTGAAGAAACTGAAAGTAAGAGGATGAAAAAAGATAATCTGGGTTAATAAAAATGAAAAATGAAATAGTGTAGCCATTCTTATATCAGATAATATAGACTTTGAAAAATATTGAAAGAGATGAAGCAGGACACTGCACAATGACCAAAGGATCTATTTAACAAGAAGAGATCACCTTTCTAGTTTCTTGTGATGCTTTCTTTTTCATCTCTAATTTCACTTGGTTTTCTCTCTTGATTTTCTTTGCTAGTCTTACTAAAAGTTTATTTTTCTCATCTTAAAAAATGGCTCTTTCTTGTTGCAATTTGTAGTTTTGTATCTTCAATTTTATTTTTGGTGTGATTTTTGTCATTTCTTGCATCCTGTTCATTTTTTAATAAATTCTTCAGATGCATTATCAGATCATTTGAAATATTTCTACTTTTTTGTAAGCACCTGTGATGTTAAAAATGTCCCTCTTGATACAGCTTTTGCTACATCTCATGGGTTTTAATATTTTTGTCTTTATTTTTATTTCTTCAGAAAAATTTCTCTTATTTCTTCAGTGACACATAGGTCATACAGTAGCATTTTTCCTTTTTTTTCTTAAGATTTGTTTTATTCTGTTATTGGCAAGGCAGATATTCAGAGAGAAGGAGGTACAGAGAAAAAGAACTTCTGTTCATTGGTTCAATCCCCAGGTAGTTACAATGGCCAGAACTGAGCCAATCAAGAGCCAGGAGCTTTCTGGGTCTCCCACGTGAGTGCAGGGTCCCAATGCTTTGGACTGTCCTTTACTGCTTTCCCAGGCCACAAGCAGGGAACTGGATGGGAAGTGGAGCCGCTGGGACCAGAATCGGAGCCCATATGGGATCTCAGTGGATGCAGTGTGAGGTTTTAGCTGCTAGGATATTGGGCTGGCTCCATTAGCATTATTTTCTTCAAGAAGTTCTTTTGATTTTCATTTCTGCAGCAATACATTAGTCATTAAGTATTATGTTATTTAGCTTCATGTTGTAAATTTTATGTTTTTCTTTCTGTTGTTAATTTAGTTTTATGGTTTTCATTTAAGGGGATGTATAGTAGCTATGTCGTACAGACTGTCATTCCCAGATGTGAAGATAAAACACATTATGCATATCTACTTCAAAATCAAAGATGGACTGCCAGTGAAACTGTTAAATATATCTTGACAGTAGGATGCTGGACTCTCTGTTATAGTCTATGCCTACAATGTCAGGATACACTTAATTAGCAGAATGGTGGACATATGACTGTTTATGAAAGATTATACCATTGTAATAATTTAGGGGAAACCAGTAATGGGGGAGATTTGGGGAGAGGTGAGAGGAAATCCCAGAGCCTATGGAAATGTATCATAAAATGATTTAAAAAAAATCTTAAAAAAAAAGCAGGAAAATTGACACTTTCAATTACTGTTAAAGATTATTGTAAACCAATATGCCTGCTTTGAAAGACAATGTAGCATAAAGTATGAGCAACCATATACATATTTGTCCCTCTGACCCACTATTTCTTATCCTTATTAATTTTATTCCAAGGAACTATTCATGTTGTAAGTATGAAAATATGAAGGTGTTCATCATGGTATCATACAAATAAGGAAAAATGTATAAAGTCTTAAGTGACATCCGAAGGGACAAGTTATTTGTAATAGGATGCTTTGTCTTTTACAAAGTTGCACATGTTTGGCTTAGTGGTTGAAATGCTTGTTCAGATAACCATGTCCGATATTGAAGTGCCTGGTTCGATACCCAGCTCCTCATTTAACTGTGTCTTCCTGTTTATGCAAGCAGGATCTGAGAGACCACAGGGATATCCTATGTAACTGTGTTGCTGCCACCCTGTGGAAGACCCTAATTAAATACTCCAGTCCTGGCCTTGGCACTCAACTTTAGCTGCTGACTGCAGTCCCTAGCAGTGCAAGCATTTTGGGAGTGAACCAACTGCTTGGAACTCTGCTTTTCAAAAAAAACACAAAAAGTTACACAACATTTCTATATGTACGGAAATTTACATTAAATAATAAAATATTTAAAATACAGTGAAATAATGACATGAGACTAATTACAAGAATGATTGTATTTGCAAATATTTACTGTGTTATTTGCTATATTATATATGTCTATTCATATTTAGAAAGAATGTAAGCATATGCTAGTGTATTGATGTTGGTGTAGGGATTGTAGGTGATGTTACTCTACTCTGTCACCACTAATCCTAACTACCTTTGAAGTTTTATTATTTTCCCAGTGTTCTTCAGTCAGAATTTATTAGATTTACATTAGAATAGGAAGTATGTTAATTGTGTTAATTTTTAATATATTCTCCATGTATAACTAGACTGTGTTTACTGACTTCCAGGTAACCCCAGTTGTTGCACTTTCCAATGAATCCTGGTCTATGTCATTTGCAAAGTACCTTGAACTTAGGTTTTATGGGTACCAGTACACTCGGAGAGCCAATGCTGAGCCTTGTGGTCACTCCATCCACCATGATTATCACCAGTATTTCTCCTATAACCAGATGGTGGCATCCTTCAGGTGAGAAATCAAAAGAACCCTGCATAAGATCACATAACCCCTTGAAACTTTGCAACATTCCCACTATTACTAATTTGAACTAATTTTTGAGTATTTGAACTTCTTGGCTAAGAGCATTCCCTGTTATTTTATTTATTCCTTACCCGAAGAAGTAGATGTGGTCACTTGTAGAGTATATAAGCGGTGGAGTCATGACGGTTTGAATTCTGGTTGGTTATCCTTTACTATGAACCACATTAACATTATATTCGCTTCTGAAAGCCTGTCAGAATTTTGGTTAGGATAGCAACTAGAATAAAGGTAGTAACATGTTTCTGATAGAACTAAAAATTCCAAGTTCAGAGAATTGATGGTTACCATTGTGATATGAAATCATTTGAGAAAGCCTTTAGATCCTGTTTTCAAAATACAGCCAAGATGTGTATGCTCTTCACCACCTCTCTCACTACCTTTTGGGACTGATTCTGTTCTTTCACTTAGATTGTTGTAGTTGCTGCGGTGAGTTTCCCTTTGGCCTCAGGGCTGTGATCTATTGCTAATGTAGCCATCAACCCAGGTTTTTTCTTACAGGAAAATCACCTCAGGTTACACTCTGCTGCTCTAGACAGTCCGTGGGTGTCTGTTTCCCTTACAGTAAAAGTCGGAGACCATTTACTGGCTGTTAAGTTCACAGGTTCTATCTGCCCAGGGCCTGTCTGCTCTCATTGCTACTATTTTCCCTTCACCATCCCCCTAACTGGGCCTCGGGGTAGGTAGATTCCCCACCTTGTGCTTAGACTTACCTCTCTAAACTGCTGCTCCGGGTATCTTCCTAGTGTTTCCTTCCTGGCTCTGCCTGCAAGTTAGTGTTCATATTTCACCTGCCCTGGCACCTTCTTACCCCATCACTCCCTACTTTCTTGCTTTACTTTTATTCTAATAGTACTAAGGATTTGATATATGTTTTAAGCATTTTAAAAATATTTGTTTATTTACCTGAGAGGCAAAGTTAGAGGGAGTTAGAGAGTGAGTGAAAGTGAGAAAGACAGACATCTGGGGCTCCCTCATGGGTGCAGGTACCCAAACCCTTAAGCCATCCTTTTCTGCTTTTTCAGGCACATTATTAGGGAATTCGAAATGATGCAGCTGGGTCTTAAATTGGTGATCCTGTGAGATGCTGACCCCCAGTATTTGTTTTGTTTCTGTCTGAATGTTGTTATGGCTTAATGTTATGAAGACATGAATTTGAACTCTTGTTTATCTTGTTATGATTTATCTTGAATTCTTATAATGTGTTTGGCATGTGTATGGTAGACCCCCCCAGGAAATCTTTCTAGTTAGAATTTTGTTTTTTTAATTTTCTTTTTAAAAAATCTTTTATTTATTATTATTATCACTTTTATTCTTTTGAATTCTGAATCTTTAGCTAAAATGGGGTGTAGCTAGTAAACAGAAACCTTCAGATGCAAAGGAATTAGACTCAGGGATGGCTCAATGGCTCAGCTGGCTAATCCAACGCCTCCCTGTACAGCATTCCGTATGGGTGCTGCTTTGTGTCCTGGCTGATCCACTTTTTTCCAGTTTCCTGCTTGTGACCTGAGAAAACAGTGGAGGATAGCCCAAATTCTAGGGACACTACATTCATAGGAGAGACCAGGAAGTTGCCAACTCCTACCTTCTGAGTGGATCAACTTTGGCCACTGTGGCCATTTGGGGTGTGAGCCAGTGCATGGAAGATCTTTCTGTCATTCCTCTCTGCATATCTGCCTTTCCAATAAAAATAAATAAATCTTTTAAAAAAGAAAGAAACAGACTCAAGAATTCTCAGGATCTGGGAATATATTGACCACTTCATGTCTAAGCTAGTTGTAAAAACAAGCCTCTTTCTTCACAGAGAAAGAGCATATCGGAGACATCAGAGGTATTTCTGTTTTTATAAATAGCCCATAAAAGATAAATGATTGTACCATATTGCATTGAAAGGATAAAGTCTCTCCTAAACAAGGGATGGTATTTTAGGGGTCCAAGCCCTTGGGCCTGTTCCATTGGCTTCCCAGGTACATTAGCAGGGAGCTGGATTGAAAGCAGAGCAACAAGTAATTGCACCAGTGTTCTGGTATGCCAGTGTTGCAGGTGGCAGCTTAATCTGCTATTCCATGGTGCTGGCATGACATTTCATAGACACAATTTTCTTTGTTGTGTCATAGGAATTAATTTATCATCATGATGTAAATCTGTTTAACATATTGAAATATCACATTTTTCTGCTACTTGTGTTTCTTTCTTTCAGCTACTCTCCTATTCGGCTTCTTGAAGTATGTGTTCCGCTTCCCAAAATATTCATCAAACGTCAGGCCCCATTAAAAGTTTCCCTTCTTCAGGATCTAAAGGATTTTTTCCAAAAGTAAGTTTTAATTTTAGTTTCTTTGATCGTACTTTTTTGTTTAGCCCTTTCTGTAATTCATAGCTACTTCAGTGTGTCAGATTTGTTCATTTAAGTGTCATTGAAAATGTCAACTTTAATTTTCAAATTGTGTATTGTATATGACAGCAGTCAACATAGATTTTCCTGTTATAGGTAAATCACTCCTGTGTTCTAGATATCCTGAGGGTTTCTTTTTTTTTTTCACTTGGATTTAAAGTCATAGACTATTTCCTAGTGTTAAAAAAAAGATAGGCATTTTATAGAATGTAAAATAGAAGGTATCAAAGTCGTATGATATTTTCTTTTGTATTTAAAAATGTTTAACAGGCATATAAAATGACAGTTGGTGAAATGTTATTTGATGTTTTAATACACGCATATTTGCATTATGAGCTATCCAGGGTTCATTGACCTATTATTTCAAACATTTAATATTTATTGTTGGTGGAAGCACTGTCTTCCAGTCTCTTTTTTCTGTAAAGAAATATAAAGCAACTTAAATTATTTGTAGTTTCCCTACTGTGCAGGATATCTTTTCAGGTCTTTTTAATTCTGAAAAATTATGTCTGATTTTTGCTTAGAGAAAACATTTTAGTTACAGTTTTATGTGGAACATATTTTTGTTTATGTGAGATAGAAAGTTTAATTCCATGCACTGAAGTGCTTGGCTTTCTCTATCAAGAGTTTCACAGGTATATCTTGCTGTTGACGAAAGACTTGCATCTTTGAAAACTGACACATTCAGTAAAACAAGAGAGGAAAAAATGGAAGATATCTTTGCACAGAAAGAGGTAATTAATTTTTTTGATAGAAATTCTAAAGTTAATTATTAACTTGTCAGAAGATTTTGAGTTTCTGAGTCCTGTTTCAGAAATAGTTTGTGTTCTTTGTAGATGGAAGAGGGTGAGTTCAAGAACTGGATTGAGAAGATGCAGGCAAGGCTCATGTCCTCCTCTGTGGACACCCCTCAGCAGTTACAGTCCATCTTTGAGTCCATCATTGCCAAGAAGCAAAGCCTCTGTGAAGTGCTCCAAGCTTGGAATAACAGGTAGGATTTCGCAGGCTGATTGTTTTTAATATTATTGCCAAACTTTTTCTAGCAAGACAGCTTTTATTTTGAAAGTCTTTATTATTTAAGGTACTTTATTTTGCCCTAAAGTTATAGAAGCTTTTGTTCTCTGTTACCTTCCCTTTTCTTTCATCCTTTGAAATATATTGCTAATTATTAGTTTGTGAGGACTAAGAAGTTGAGAGCAACTGTCAGTATTGTTTTGATTATGGTTATAAACATTTCTGTTTCAGATATGTTTGCTCTTGAGTTGTCTACCATGAGTGATTGTTGGCTTTGGGATCAGGAATTTTAAATATATAATGTTTACCGTATACCTTTACTGATATGTGTATGTTTCACAGATCTTTTTCATATTAACTTGCTATCCTTTCTTTGTAGCCCTACTGATATCAGCCAGATCTTTTAGTTGATTAGATTCGTCAAAAACTTAGTCTTCTGTGCAGTTTTATAGCCCATAGAGTCCACTTGGGAAGAGTTAATTTATGGGATTTATAAGTTGGAAAAAAATTTAGAAACAATAACTAGGGTGCTAGTAACACGCCATTTTTTTTTTTTTTTTTCCCTTTTGGTCCTAGGTTACAAGACCTTTTTCAGCAGGAAAAGGGTAGAAAACGACCTTCAGTTCCTCCAAGTCCTGGAAGACTAAGACAAGGAGAAGAAAACAAGGTAGTGAAGTGTAGTTTTCAAACCCTCATTGAGAGAAGCAGAATTGCATTTGTAACATTTAGAAGCCGTAGCTTAATACATACTTTATTAGTAATATCAAATAGGGCTTTCCTTGAAAGTTGTGAGGGTTTTAAAGGAGCCATAACCTGGAGCACTTGAAATCCTAGGTGAAAATCAATTGATCTCTTACAGAGTTCATTTGAAATATTTGTTTCAAAAATGCTTGTTAAAAAAATCCTCTTCGGGCCCGGCGCGGTGGCGCAAGTGGTTAAAGGTCCTCGCCTTGCACGCCCGGGATCCCATATGGGCGCCAGTTCTAATCCCGGCAGCCCCGCTTCCCTTCCAGCTCCCTGCCTGTGGCCCGGGAAAGCAGTCGAGGATGGCCCAAAGCTTTGGGAACCTGCACCCACGTGGGAGACCTGGAAGAGGCTCCTGGCTTCGGATCGGCATAGTATCGGCCCGTTGCGCTCACTTGGGGAGTGAATCATCGGACGGAAGATCTTCCTCTCTGTTTCTCCTCTCTGTATATCTGCCTTTCCAATGAAAAAAATAATAAAAATAAATCTTAAAAAAAAAAAAAAAAGAAGTCTCGAAGAACGCTTTAAAAAAAAAAAAATCCTCTTCACTGAGGAGAGTGCTACAGTGATAAGCAGGTGCAGCCGGGGAGTAGATGTGAATTTGCAGAATGGGTGTCCTCATTTCTCTTAACTGTGCAGCTCTGGAGTTCTGGATGCTTTTTCTTTATCTCTGTGCTTTAGTGAGAAACTCTTAAGGTATCTGAACTGAGCAACTTCTGTACTTTGATATATTTAGCTTTTTTTTCCCCCAGGTTTTCAATAGTCTCTTTTCTCTTCTTGAACAGCAAAGCATCACACACTTAGTGTTCAAAAACCACAAATTCATTGTTTCATAATTTTTATGACTCATATCTAATATGCATGGGCCAGATTTGTGTTCAGATTCTCTTTCAACTGAAACCAAGCAATAGTCTTCTCCAAGATGTGAGATCTAAACTCATGAAGGTTGATTGGCAGGATGTAGTTCTTATTGGATTGAAGCCCTACCCTGGTTTTGCTTGCTGTCAACCAAAAGGCATTTTTTTTCTTTCTTAAAATTCTTTTAGGTTTAATTTTTTTATCTACTTGAGAGGTAGAGAGGCAGTATGGGGAGAAAAGGAGAGAGAGGGAGAGAGTGAGAGAAAGATCTCTTTTTTGCTGGTTGGTTCACTTTTCAAATTCCTGCAAACCTGTGGCTGGGCCAAGCTGAACCAAGTACCAAAGTACTTGACCCATCACCTGCTGTGTTCCTCAACCCCTCCCTGAAGACATACATTACTAGGAAACTAGAATCTGGATCAGAGCCAGGGCTTGATCTTAGGTATTGGAATGTGAAATGTGGATATGACTCCAGCAGCATCTTACCTGCTATCTCCAAAGCATGCTCCCCAGGAGCTGTTCTACGAGACTGCCGGCATTCTGGGCTGTGGGTTTCTCCATCTTCAAAACCTGTGAGCAGTGTGTTAAATTGTTCTTAGATTTCAAATCAAGTAACTTCTTATTTCTGATCTGTAGAAACTGATTTACTTCTGTGATTAATTTCCAGCCCACTTGGATTTTTTCTCCATTTTGAGGACTGCTGATTTGTAACTGATTTTACATGTGTAAAATCTCTTTGCAAGAGTACTAAATTAGCATTGATTGAAGTTAGGACAAGTTTATATACACTAGATATTGGAAATCTTAGGGTCATTTTAGAATTCTGCCTGTTAGACTAGCCATATTTGTATTTTCCATTAATTTATGGCTGAGTACCACATTCTTAAAAATTCAGCACTTGGATATTTAGATTGTTTTTATTTCTTGACTGTTTGGGGACTAGTTCTATATCTAACACCAAAGTACAGATAACTTTGTGATTTTGATTTAATTTCCTTTGGATATATACCTAGTATGGGATTCCTGGATCACATGATAGTTCTAGTTTAATTTCTCTGAGGCAGTTCCATACTGTTTTCCATTATGACTGTTGATAAATTATAGGTCTGTGTGCTTGTGTGTTACGGACTGTTTTGATTATAAGGCATATAATTCAGTTCTGTCCCCATGGAGCATTTGAAATGACAGTAAACACATGAACTAATAAACATTTAAAACAACAATATAAAGTTTCCATGAAGGAAACAGTATTGCCGAGGCACTGGTTAATGATGATAGGAGTAGCACAGATTGACTGAGGAGATCTCTTTAATATGAAGAACTTTAATCAACTGTGACATGACATTGTAAGAGAGTTTTGCTTGGGTCTTATAGCTGTTCTTGGTATATAGTACAGGTTGAAGAAGTTCAATGGATAATCATAGATGATTAGATTGGATTGATAATCATCATACTTAAGTGCTCTAATGCTAAGAAGTGAACTGTGGTTTAGGATAATTTTCTCATGTCACTCAAGGACTTCAGAAGGTCCATATTCAATACAGAAGCCAGATACAGATACAAAAGGCAGCTGAACATTAGAGAGAGTTGTGAGAATGCTAAACAGTGCTATCTTTTTGCAAGATTTTTATAATTTTGGAAAATATGTATTTTATTAAATCAGTAGGTTATTCATGTTGACTTATAATAGGTTTATTTTTAAATGAATAAATGAATACTTTTAATTTTAATTTCTAAAAAGGTAACAGAAATTATTATAAGTTAGTAAGGGTGTCCCCAGTGATTTCTAGCAGTATAACTGGGTCCTCAGACTAAGGAGTTTAAGATTTACCAAGTTCAGAAAAAAAATTTTTAAGTGTTACTTTAGCATTTTCTTTAAAATAAAAGTATTTGCTTCTTTTAGATTAGTGCAATGGATGCATCTCCCCGGAATGTTTCTCCAGGACTTCAAAATGGTGAAAAAGGTTGGTCTTTGAGTCTCATGATCATATACCATTGGAGTTAAAGAAATTTCTTGATGTGTATTTAACTGCTTAGTTTCAGTGTTTTTCTTCCTAATACAGTTGTTCATAGACTTTACCTTTTTGTAGAGAATGTATAACTGTATCAACCTAAGATTATCATACAGTATAATATATTAAAACAATATAAATTGGAAAATAGATATGTATCTCTATATGAAATAAAGGGTTGCTGATAGAGGAAGAAACAAACAGAATGGAATTTCTTATTTCAAAGTCAACCCCCAAGTTTCATTACAAAAATCTTACATAGCTTAATGTTTTTAAGTTTATTTTTATTGGGATGTCTGATTTACAGTCAAGGAGAGACAAAGAAAAAGATCTTCCATTTGCTGGTTCACTCCCCAAGTAGCTGCAATAACAGGAGCTGAGCCCATCCGAAGCCAGGAGCAAGGAGCTTTCCCTGAGTCTCCTGTGCAGGTGCAGTGTCCCAAGGCTTTGGACTGTCCTCCATTGCTTTCCCAGGCCACAAGCAGGGCGGTAGAATGGAAGTAGAGCAGCCAGGATATGAACTGGCACCCATATAGGATCCTGGCATGTGCGAGGTGAGCACTAGGCTGTTGTACTGGGCCTATCGCTTAATTTAAAAAAATGTTTGAATATCAGAGTTATAGAAAGAGGGGTTGAAGGAGGGAGATCTTCCATTTGGTGATTCACTCACCTGGTAGCCACAATGGCAGGTGCTGGGCTAGACCAAAGCCAGGAGCTGGGAGCTTCCTTCTTGTCTCCCATGTGAGTGGTAGGGCCACTTCCAGTTGTTTCTTTTTGGGAGAGGGCTGTTTGCATGGAGCTGCACTGGAAGTACAGCATTCAAAACTTGAACTGGAACCTATATGGGATACTGGCTTCACAGGCAGCTGCCTTACTGGCTATACCACAACACTAGTACATAGCTCAATTTTTTTTTCAATGCCATTACAATACTTAAACAAGTAATGATGTCTTTCACAGGATTTCATTGAATAATTTACTGTCATCCTGTAAACTTTTTAGACAGTCTTTACAGAATAAGAGATCAACTCTTAATTTTTGGGATTTTTCTATCATAATTTGATGTTTTTTTTTCTTCCACAAAATGAGTATGTAGCTTTTCTCACAATCTCCCAATTTCCTTTATTACTGTGAAAAACTGATATTTAGATAGACATTCTGTAACAAAGTAAAGTGTATTATGCAGCTTGTTTGCTAGTCTATATACTGCCAACAAGGTTTGATTGTGATCAAGTCAGACGGGCCTTCTAGATTTTTGTAGATAGTTTTATGAAATGAGTTATATGATCTAAATAATTTTTAAAAACTAAAAATATGTTTTAGAAAATATAAATTTATACTGCCAAGACATTAAAATTAGTAGAAAGGGATTTACTGTGTCCAAATACTCACTAACAATTATTTTTCTTTAGAGGACCGCTTCTTAACAACCTTGTCCAGCCAGAGTTCCACCAGTTCTACCCATCTGCAGTTGCCCACTCCCCCTGAAGTTATTTCTGAGTCATCTGTGGGTGGCCCCCCTGATCTAGACACAGGTAGCAGTTCTGAAGGTACAGTTAAAATTACTGTTTCCATTATTTCATGAACCAATGCTGGTTCATATGCATCTCTGAAAGACATTGCTGATTGCTTGGCACATGCCGCCTTATCTGCTTGAATTTTTTTTTTTTTAACTTATTGAAAGTGCAATTTTCAGGTTTAGCATTTTATCATTTCCTTTAGTTGAACTGTTTGATATGTAAACATATAATGATGAACTGTTATTCAGATTCATCTACCTTCTATCTTACTTTCTTGAGGTCCGTAAAGCATTGGGTAATTACTTTGTAAGAGAATAAGAGAAATTGCAATGACTTCTCCAACACCAAAACATTGCTTCATAACAATAAATTCATTCGTTGCTTTTTGTATTCCTTGATTTCTGTGTGAGCTGAAAATCACAGCATAAAATAGTAGCTGTAAAAATAGTGTTCTGATCAGATATACTACACTTGATAGCCAAAAGTCCGAGAAGCGATCTCTGATCAGCTGTTATAGCCATAGTACACAAAACTGATTGGGAGAGACAAGTGGATTGTTGACTGAGTACATGAGTGAGAAGGAAGCAGTTTGATCATAGATGATGCCTTGCTCCTTTTCTTGGTATGAAGCCATTGGCTGCGGTCATCTCAGTTTCAGATGTAAAAGGATGGAAAAAAAAATGTCATTTTTTTAGATAAGAAATCTTAAATCATACTTGCTGAGTTTGGTGTACTTATGTCTGCAATTCAAAAAGAAAATTTTTTATTCTCTGTGCATCAGCGTATGGCGTATGAATAGAGTGGTTTTCATCCTAGATGTGTTTGATGGACATTTGCTGGGCTCCACAGACAGCCAGGTGAAGGAAAAGTCAACCATGAAAGCTATCTTTGCAAATTTGCTTCCAGGAAATAGCTACAATCCTATTCCATTTCCTTTGTAAGTATTGTAAAAATCAGTGGCTATTCAGTGTTTTTGTTTTTCTTAATAATAAAAAAAGCCCTCATATCTTTGCATATTTTTTTGAAGATTAATTTATTGTTATTGAAAAGTCAGATAAACAGAGAGGAGGAGAGACAGAGAGGAAGATCTCCCCTCTGTTTGATGCATTCTCCAAGTGCCCTCAACGGCCGGAGCTGAGCCAATTTGAAGTCAAGAGCCAGGAGTCTCTTCCGAGTCTCCCACACAGATGTAGTATCTCTAGGCTTTAGGTTGTCCTGAACTGCTCTCCTAGGCCACAGGCAGGGAGCTGGATGGGAAGCGGAGCATCCAGGACATGAACTGGCGCCCATGTGGGATCCTGGTGAGTACAAGGCCAGGACTTTAGCCACAAAGCTACCACACTGGACCCATTTTTGCACATTTAAATATCTGGGGCCTGGAGCGGTAACCTGGTGGCTTGAGTCCTCGCCTTGTTGTGTGCCAGGATTTCATATGGGTGCAAGATTGTGTCCCAGCAGCCCGCTTCCATTAATTTTATCCATTATAACAGCATGCATTAATTTCATAATCCTAAAAATATATTGCTAGTTGTGTGGGAGAATAATATTACTGGCTCAGTAGTTTACTGGGATGTGTGGCAGTGTTGGTGTGTTAACTGTGATCCATATGCTTTTGTCTGGTCTTTGTTGTATTAACCTCACTCAGATTGGGAAAGAATTTAGAGTTACTGATCTCCCCCTCCCCCCACACTGTTGACCTGTGTAGTCGTCAAATGCTGCTTTTGTTATGGTGATATAAGTGTATACAAAAGGCAGAAAAATTGTTAATGAGGACTTACATTTGTTTTTAACTTCTCTTTGTATCCTGATATAATATAATGGGAAAGGATTAGAGAACTCTCTCAGCTCTCTTATAAGGTCTTGTGGAGTCTATCCTTGTGACCTAAATTACTGGTGAAGGTGTCACTTTTTAATACTGTCATATTATGAGTTAGGATTTTGACATAAGAATTTTTGGGGAGAATACAGCTATTCATGCTGAAACAATTCACTTATAGTATTTGTCAGAGACAGTGTATGTATATACTATGGGGTTTTTTCTTTACTCCACCACACTGTAAAACTCTACAATGCCAATTTTTTAAACCCTCATGTTACTAACCATTCACATTTGTAAAATATTTACTAGTGTTTTTCTCATTATCTCTCTGGTACAGATACATTTTGATTAGTAGGTAGCGCCTAAATAAAAGGAATGAATGGAACATATGTAGGACAATTAGATAAAGTCATGGAGCAAATTGGGATTGAGTGACATCACCTTTGAGTTTCCATGTGATAATAGCAGAGTGGTTGGACTGTGTTATATATTGTTGGGCTAATAGTATGTCTTCTACAATTTCTAGAAAACTTTCTCTCAAGCCTATTGTAAAACGCAAAATATTTTAGACTTCTATTTATTATAAATTCTTTTTGGGATTAGTATGACTAAAGTTTTGGCAGTGTAGAAATGTTTGAAGTGATTTTTCCAGGACCTTCTGGTTTAAAACCTCATTCTGATAATTTCCTGATAAAGTTAAAAATTTTCTCTTGATATTGTTTCATTGGCTATTTAAGTTCATGGTATCTGTATACATTTTGGCCTACTTAAATACTTTTTTTGTTGTGTAGGATCCAGTTAACTTATAGTTATTCTCTGTTACTTACCTGAAACTAGATAAAGGACTTTAAATGTGATTTTGTACTAATTTTACGTATGTACTTTAAATATTTCACCAGTGATCCAGATAAGCACTATCTAATGTATGAACATGAGCGGGTACCCATTGCTGTCTGTGAGAAGGAACCCAGCTCCATCATCGCTTTTGCTCTCAGGTATTCTGGGATTTTCCCACTTGTGGCTATATTTGCGTATTATATGTATATCTATTAATCACCTTGTTTGGGGGATTTTTCATGTGGGCTAAAGCAAAAATGATTGTAAACGTGTTACATACGTATTTGAACCACAATAGTTTGTTCTTTTAGTTCCTGAAAACCTTGTCTTAACCTCAATAATGGGATATTGACTGGTTTATTTAAAAGCTCCTAGTAAAAATCTCAGTTAGGCCAATTATTTATTACTCCTTGTGTTCTTTCACCATTCTCTGTGTTATAATTTGTATTCTTTGTATCTATTTCTTTGATTTAGTTGTTGACATAGTAGTTGGAGCATATTGATCTTGCATCACCTTTTTTGTAGTTTGATTCATAAACTCCTATTTTCCATATATATGAGGTTAAATCTTCCTGCTTAATGCTATTTTTGTATCTAACCTGATTATTTTTTTACTTTGATTTACTTAATTATGTGTCTTAAAAAGTGCCTTAATTTGCTGTTGTTTACAAATTAATATTGAACTTCTTAATCTGTTATAATGTCTTAACAGAACTTAGTTTAAGTTGAATCTAAGATGTTCAATCAAAACACAATTTTCTATTATAAGGTGTATAAAAATTTTTATGTACATTTAAAAAAAATTGATTTTTTTCAAGGTTTATTTATTTTTATTGGAAAATCAGATGCACAGGGAGGAGTAGAGACAGAGAGGAAGATCTTTTGTATACTGATTCACTCCCCAAGTCAAGTGGCTGCAATAGCCAGAGCTGAGCCAATCTGAAGCCAGGAGCCAGGAGGATCTTCCAGGTCTCCCACATGGGTGCAGGGTCCCAAGGCTTTGGGTTGTCCTCAATTGCTTTCCCAGGCCACAAACAGGAAGTTGAATGAGAAGCGGGGCTGCTGGGATTAGAACCAGTGCTCATATGGGATCCTGGTGCGTTGAAGGCAAGGACTTTAGCTGCTATGCTATTGCACTGGGCCCTATCTACTGCTTTTGATGCCTGAATCCCACATTGAAATCCCTGGGTTTGTGTCCCAGATCCATCCCCTACCCGTTCCAACTTCTTCCTGGTGCCAACCAGTGCATCCCTGCCACTGATGGGGGGGGGACTGGGATTGAGTTCTTGCTACTAACTTTGGCCCAGTCCCAGCTACTATGGGCATTTGGGAAGTGAATCAGCATAGGGGCAACCTCTCTCTTTCAGTGTCCATTTCTGTGCTGTTCATATAAATAATATGGGATCCCAGTGCATGCAAGGCAAGGACTTTAGCCACTAGACTACTGAGCCAGGGACTGAGCCAGGGACTGAGCCAGGGACTGAGCCAGGAGCTTTTTCCATAAATGCTCAACTCCTTTGTGTAAAATGATGCAGAATTTGCATATAGCCTATGCACATATTCCTGTTTATTTTTTAAACTGTGTCTAGATGATTTATAGCAACTAATACATCATAAATACTATGGAAATATTTGTTAAATTGCATTGTTTAGGGAATAATGATAAGAAAAAGGAAACTTGTTCAAGGCAGATAATTTTTTCTTTTGCACTATTTTGATCTACAGTCGATTGAATAGTGCAGAACCTGTAGTTAAGTAGGCATGATTCTTCATCCTAACACATATTTTCTTTCTCCATGACCGTTGATTTACCTAAAGCTCTCAGATTTCTTGCCCAGGAGTCAGACTTTTTTGAGGAGTTAATAAGAAAATTCCCCAAATTCTTTTTTCTTAGAGTTTAGTTCTTTTAAGTAGAATACTTTTAAGTTCTTTTATTCTCTGTTGTCCTGAACCCCAGTTTTATACTTTGACATCAGCTCTTCAGACCTTGAAATCCTGCAGTGTGTTTTTCGGTGACTGTTGTGGATGCTGGGACTGGCTGGTGAATCAGTGTGTTGTGTTTCCTGTTAGCCTCTGTGAAGACGTTGAGCTGCCTTCAGAAGCCTCTACTCTTTGACTTTTGTTAGTTAACCCATATAAATGTATTTGTTTAATCATGGGTACTTTATATTGATTGCGCTTATGTAATTCAATGCTTATTCTAAAGCATCTTAATTTATTTTTTAAGAAGGGCTTGATGTTCAGTGTTTTTCACTCTGTTTCTGCCCTAAGTTGTAAAGAATACCGAAATGCCTTAGAAGAATTGTCTAAAGCAACTCAATGGAACAATGCTGAAGAAGGGCTTCCAACAAACAGGTAACTTATATCCGAGTAGACTATCTTAACTTAGTTATTTTTAATTTACTGTGTGCTTTTAGTCAGTTGTATTATAGTATATCATTAACACAATTTTCTAGGATCCAGATAATGGTGTTTTTGTGTCTTTTTCACACACACACACACACACACACACACACACTTATACACATACATGCATAGATAATGTGTATGCATGTATCTATATACCCATGTATATATTATACATGTACACATAATACTTATTTATTTGCAAGAAAAAGAGTACTCTTTTTTTCTGGTTTGTTCTTCAAAGTTCCAACTGCTGGGACTGAAGCCAGGAGCCAGAAATTCAGTCCAGGACTCCATGTGGGTAGAGGAACCCAATCTCTTAGCCTGTTATGTCTGCCTCTTAGCTTCTATATTAATAGGAAGCTAGCATTAGGATCAGGAGTGGAGTCAGTCCCAGATAACTTGAAATGTGATGGAGGTGTTTTAATTGCTGGGCCAGACACCCACCTCGATAACACTCATATTTTAGTAAATAGCAGAAGTAACAGTATTTTATAGCAACCTAGATATTCACTAATTCTTCATGGTACAGTTTTCTGATCAGTGTAACAAGTCAGTGTACAGAAATGTTACAGATTTAAACTTTGAACATTTTTGAAAACAATGAAAAAATTATTTTCATTTGAAAAAATAGGGGTGGGCATTTGACTTAGTGGTTAAACTGTATTCTGTGCAAAAGTACCTGTATTTAAGTCCTAGCTGCATTTGCTATTATATTTTCTTGTTGATGTACACTTGGGAAGACAGCCTGTAATTGCTTCAGTGGTTGGATCTGTGCCACTCAAGTTGGAGACTTGGATAGGATTCTCAGCTTCTGGCTTTGGCATGGCCCAGCCCCAGCAGGTACAGGCTTTGAGGAGTGAGTCAGTGAACAATGAGAAAATCTGTTTCTGTCTCCATCTGTCTGACTGTCTCTCGATGTCTTTGTGCCTCTTGAAATAAAGAAGTAACTTGAGAAGTTAGTATTACTTGCCTTTGGAACTTTTAAGAATTTGTGAATTTTCTTTAATAACTGAGGATCCTAATAGTAAAACTAACAGTAATATCCCAAAGCAGTGCTTTGTATTTACTCAGTAATTTAGGTCATTATTAAAATAGGTTTTCCAGCTTTACTAACATGGTGACCAATGTTAGGAAAATGAAATCGGTGTTTTCTGTGATTGTTTGAGTTAAAGATGCTGATATAGCTCTAGCAGATGGGGAGTAAATATTGTGCAAGTCTATACTTCCTCCCTGCACAACTGCCATTTCCCTCCTGAGAGATTCTTACATTTCCTGTAGGGGGACTCATGGATGAATCTGTTTTGAACATGAGTGTGTAAGTCTGCATTGACACTTTTTTGGTGTACAAAAATAATTTTTCTTTTGTAAAACTTACATAGAGCAGATTTTAAAAAATGTATTTCCTATTTGTAATTATAACCATATAATGACACTTTTTACCCCCTCTTTCCTCATTCCTTCTTTTTCTTTTAATTTTTTCAGTTACATACTTTTGGTTTATCATCACACATTCAATCCTCCATGAGATAAAGAATTCAACATGTAGAAAAGTCTGTGCTTTCTTAAATTTTTTCTTACATAGTTGTAGTTACAGCATTTTATTTCAAATCAGCAATCATCAAAGCTTGTTCATGTCAATTTTTAATCAGATTTATGATACTGTGTGTAGTGTGAGGTGGCAAGTAGATTAGTGTAAAAATCAAAATGCTTGTTACTTTCTATCTTAAGATTATAAAACTAATTTGTTATTTCTTTTTCATTTTAGTACTTTAGACAGCAAACCAAAGAGTAGCAGTCCTATTAGATTGCCTGAGATCAGTGGAGGACAAACCAACCGTACTGCAGAAGCAGAACCACAGCCAAGTAAGATAACAAATGGGAAAAGCATTCATAACTGATTTTATTTGCAGATATGGTGTGAAGAAGGAAGCGCCTTAACTAAGAAATGCCATCTGGTCAGCATTTATTATTTCTGATATTTGAAATACATAGGTTTAAGCATTTTCATTATAGATATTTTGCTTTTCTTCTTTGAGTCTTACCTTAAATGTAGGTTCCAGTTACTGAACTTGAAACTTTTTAGAAAGCTTTTGATATATGCAAAAGGATGATCTGCCTTCCTGGAGCCTTCAGTATAAAATGTACAACCTAAGAAACATTAACAACAGCTTACATTGTTTTCTTGGCCATATGAAGTGAAGTTTTATACTGTATCGTTTAAGCTCCATATCACCTATATAGAGATTTTTATAAAATATATTATTTCTTTAAAATAAGTTAAGATTCAGATTAAGCGATATGCTCAAATTAGACAGTAATGGAGCTTGGATTTGAACTTGGGTGCTTGAACTTGTTAGAGAAAAACACATTTAGCAAATAACAGAAAACTCAGCAGACTGTAATGGCTTTCACATGAGAATTGCATTTTCTAAAATGATTGCATGGAGGTGGGTAGCCAGTTGCTGACCTTGGCTCAACCGCTTGACATTGTTAGGACAAAAGCATGGTAGTTTGCTCTGATTTTCTTATTTTCCTCATGATCAATTTTGTTCACGTTTGTTTACATTTAATACGGAAAGAAGCATTATGCAAGTTGTGCCTATTCTCTTCTGTTAGGAGCACTACTGCTCACCCTGCCCTTCAGTCACATGGGTCTGAGCTGGGTCTCATAGCTATTTAACTGTAAGGAACTGAGAAAATAGGTCACCGCAGTGATCCAGTTGGCTTATGCAAACCATGATCCATTTTCTGGGACTTTTCATGTAGCGACTCCAGCAAACACTGGAATTCTGCTAGCAAGGAACAACTAGTTAGGAGTAGGTTAAAGAAGTAATAAAGTCTTTATGGGTATGTGTCCCTCTCAACTAATTAATAAAGAATTTTACATTTTAAGAAGTAATAATGTCTGCCATGGTAAGTAAACACTTTTATGATGTTTACTATGGATGTATAAATGGTAAATTTACGCATTATAATCATACATATTATTGATTAATGGAACCTAAAACTAGAATTAAAAATTAACAGACAAATTTTAAGTAAATTATTGGCTAATTCTATTCTATTCATGTTTTGAAAGATATTAAAAAGTTAAGGCCTTATATCTTCCTGCTTTAGAATGCACGTAACACAAGAGATACAAGGATGCTACCTTTAACTTTGATTCTTAGCTTGTGAAGTTGTTTTCTGCTTACCTGTATTGCAATATTTCAGCCTTTATGCTTTTGTCGTTTAATACATCAAATCTGTCATTTAAAAATATATTGACTTTCTAGGAAATTTCTCATGTCTTGGTATCAGGTAGATGAATATTTCTGTTCTGTATTTCTAACAAGAAAAAACACTTCAGCCACTGAACAATAACAACATATGGAATAATAATCTGTGGAAACCAAAGTGTCTGCATTACTCAGACTTGTTAGCCTCGTGATGGTTGCTGCTAACAAAGAGTTGAGTTGAAAATTTTTATTTTCCCCTTGCAGTGACCTGTACTTCAAATTAATTTGTCACTTCTTATTTTTAGCCAAAAAGGCTTCTGGAATGTTGTCCTTCTTCAGAGGGGCAGCGGGGAAAAGCCCAGATCTCTCTTCCCAGAAGAGAGAGACCTTGCGTGGAGCAGATAGTGCTTACTACCAGGTTGGGCAGACGGGCAAGGAGGGAACGGAGAATCAAGGCATTGAGCCTCAAGGTGTGTTAAAGTAGACAAAATGTGCATACTCTAGGCTTTAATTTACTTGTTTTAGTTACTGTGTTTCTTGTAGTCTTATGTAAATAACTCCTATTGCTGAAAACGGAGCATTCCTTATATTTACATTCACTGTGGTAGAGTAGAAAAAGCCTGGCAGTTGGATGTGTCCAGTTGCTTTTGGATTTCATTGCTATCACTTACTGGGGGAAGAATCAGAAGTCTTTTAGCTGTCACCTGTGTGGTGGCATAGTCACTGTCACGATTTGCTGAAGATGAGGTGACAGTGCACATGTTATACATCTGTCTCGCTGTGTATGTGACGTGGACTCCAGTGTTTTCATTCCACCGTCCCTTTAGATTTTTTTCTTCCTTTTCTAGGCGTTATGAGGGTGTGATATTTCTATATACTTCATTTTGATGTTCAAAAAGATGTCTGTCCAGTTGTGTTTGGGTATGGATTTAGACTGATAATTGGCAGATAGTACTGAACTGTTTTTATAACTAAACTTTATTGGAAAACATGAATACTCATTCACTTAACTCTTGTCTGGTTGCTTTCACATTGAATAGACAAATTGAGTAGCTACTAGTGTGTAGAATATTATCTAGCCCTTGGTGACTTCTAGTTTGGACCACGAGGTAATTAAAAAAAAAAAACAGCTGTTTTTTCCTTAGTAAATAAGATATTTATTTAGTATCTTATAGGCAGCTATTTATATTGGTATTTATAATGTGATCCTTGGAAGACTTTAATGTTTCAAAAAATTATTTCCAAGTGTGAAACTTGGGGAATGATGTGTTCTTTTAGATGTTAAGATATATTATAGATCAATGGTAAATTGGATGGATCTGGTATATTTGCCACAAATCAGTCATGTGCAGGCATAACTCTTAGATCGACTGTACTATATCATATGCGTCTATGTAAGATATGGTTCTCACTATATAATAAGGAAAACTGGGAAAATTTTGGGGGAAAATTTTTTTTTCTTATTGGGAAAGTAGTATTGTTGAAGACCTGGCTGTAAAAATCTAAAAAATATTAGAAGCCATGGAAATTCTTGCTTGAAGAGTTGAGTTAATATATTGCTATCATAGAAATAACTTAAATGTAAGAAAAACTAGTCAACCCGAATTCTCCTTTTTAACCTATTCACATTAAAATTTCAGAATATGTATTTTATTATAATTACATTTAATACTTAGTAATAATTTACTTTTGATATGCTAATTTTTACTAAGGAAAAAATGAACTATTTAAAACTGCTTCTATTAATCATATTCCACCTTTTAGATGAAGTAGATGGAACTGATATACAAAAGAAGCAACTCACAAATCCTCATGTGGAACTTCGTAAGTATGAAAGAATATGTTGTCTTATGGATAGGGACTAATTGAGAAAACTTTGTTATTTGAGAATTTGCTTTCATACCAGATAGTTGTCTTGTTGGTTGAAACTGTATGCCTAGTGTGAGGTTTACTTAGTCTGTAGTTCATAAAATATACATTAATCTATAAGGAAATTTTACCTGTTAATTTAATTAAAATTATAATTTGATTTTTCAATGTATACATTATTCTTTATTTAATTTCTACTGCTTAAACATTTACTATAAAATAATGTATTTTATTCTATAATCAAACTTTACATGAACATTGCCAAGGTTCTCTCTTTCTCTCTGTCCCTAACATATATATGCCAGGAATGTATTGTATGGAATAGCATAAGAATTATTACACAAGTATAATGATTCTGAAACCAGTGCAAAATTAAAACTGAGGTTTATGTTTTTTGAAAATATGTAAGGGTAATCATTTGATGCTCTGAGATTATTTTAATAGAACTGTGGCAAGCAGTGGTGTGGTTTTAACATGATAGATGCTTTCATGGAGAAATTCAGGTAAATGCATTTAGTAGGACATCAGAGGCCAAACAAGGAAGGTATTCTCTAAAAGGTAAAATCTTGCTTTTTGTTTTGTTTTGGGCTTATAGAATTTTCTGATGCTAATGCGAAATTTTATTGTCGCCTCTACTACGCGGGAGAGTTCCATAAGATGCGTGAAGTGATTCTAGGCAGCAGTGAGGAAGACTTCATTCGTTCTCTGTCCCACTCGTCTCCCTGGCAGGCTCGAGGCGGCAAGTCAGGAGCTGCCTTCTATGCGACTGAAGGTGCGTCTTACATTTTCCCATTATGTGGGCTCCATTCTTTTGCCTCATAATTTATGAATCATTTGAACTGAGATAGCATGATAATGTCTATTAAGAAACAAAGTTTTGTGCTTGTTTTTTATGCTTGAGAGGATGTCATAAAATTTTTATGACTATACATGTTGTATATTTTATAATGAGACCAGGGCATTGAACTTACTAAATTTCCTAGTTCTGAGTTCTCCAAATGTACATAGTAATAGAGAACTGAAAAATTCAAAAGATACCTCAGCATTAGGGAGCAAAAGCTACAAATGGAAATAATTATGCTGAAAAATAGGCAGACCAAGTTTTTAGCTTAAAAAGGTTTATAGGATAGCACAACCAAGTGTATTTTACATTGTGGTCTCTGAATCCACTGAAAGCAAAATTAACTTGAGAAAATGTAACAGAAGGATATTAATAACTATGATTTCTTGGATAGTTAACAAAGGAGTTTCCAAGATTTGTGAGGTGTGGCCAGGTTGTAGATGTTACTGCTAGCTCTTCTATTGCTAGTGACTTACGTTCCGATCAGAATGTTCACTGTGGCATCAGAAAATATCCCTTAAAAATATAACATAAGTGAATGATTTTGAATCTTTAGTGTGATATGCTGTAGGTTACAATATATATTCTGATTGAATAAACACATGAATATTCTGCTCTTTAGATGACAGATTTATTTTGAAGCAAATGCCTCGTCTGGAAGTCCAGTCTTTCCTCGACTTTGCCCCACACTACTTCAATTATATTACAAATGCTGTTCAACAAAAGGTAGAAACCCCAAATCTTGCGAATTTACAGGGCTTTTTGACATGCTGAGGGTTAATCCTAATGGCAGTTTTTTCCATGTTACGATTCCATGACTGAATTCCTGTAATGCTTCTGAGAGGGATAGAATGCTGAGATTTCAAACTGTGTTTTTCCTACCTTTGCCAGTGAGGAATTGAGTAAGCATGAGCAAGCGGTTTTTAATATGTGCTATATATATGTGTGTATGTATGTGCATACATGCATACATACATATAATTAGCATATATACACACATATCAATTTAAAAATATGAAGACTGGATGAAATTGGCTGCACATTTAGTAATGTGGTTTTGGTGATACATTTGAAACCAGTACTGAGAAATGAGGAAATGTCTCATTTAAGCTGGAAATGTCTAGCCTCTTTTTTTTTTAAAGAGGTGCACTTTGTCATTATATAGTAAATTACTGTTCACCCCTTAAAGACTATGAGGAAATTGTAGAGTTTTGTTGTTATTGTTTTGTTTTGTTTTTAAATATGTTGTGGGTTTATTGCCTTTTTTGGGTGCAATTTTTGTCATAATGAAGTTTTTGAATTTGATCATCTGTGAGAGATGGGGAGCATCTCTGTAGCAAGTAAGAATATTTTCATTGGTATGTTTGCTATACCTTTGGGATTCAGAGATCAGCGTTCCCTTGAAGGTTCTTGTAGTGGGTTATAGCAATAGTAAATCATAGATAACCTATATATCAATATTAAATTATAAATAAACCTTTTTGATAAGAATTTACTTTTATCTTCTCTTGATTAGAGACCTACTGCATTGGCCAAAATTCTTGGAGTATACAGAATTGGTTATAAAAATTCTCAGAACAACACGGAGAAGAAGTTAGATCTTCTTGTCATGGAAAATCTTTTCTATGGGAGAAAGATGGCTCAGGTAAGGGTATTTGACTGTGTAGTATTTTGCCCCTGGAAACTTTTGAATTTATGACATTTGCGTATAATGAATCAATATATATATTTTTGTGGTTACTAGGCCAAATATTTTTAACTTGTTGGACCTTAGAGATTAGGGAATTATTCTTGTGGATTGCTGCTATCATTGAACATATCCAGGATTCTAGAATCACAGGATCAGTTATCAAATACACTTCTATGACCTCAGTTTTAAAAATAAGCTAGCTGAAGCCTGGAGAACCTAAGTACTTCAGGAAAATCACTCAGCTATTCCTGCAACTCGAGTTGGGGTAAGATTTTAGAACAGTGGCATTATTAAAAAAAAATTTTTTTTAAAGATTATGTATTTAAAAAAATTTTTTTTAATTTATTTTATTTTTTTTATTACGTATTTTTTATTTTTAAGATTATGTATTCTTTTTAAGATTATGCATTTTACTTGAAAGAGAGAAAGAGGGGGGATTTGGCAGAGAGAGTTCTTCCATCTGCTGGTTCACTCCCCAAATAGTCACAGTTTGCCAGAGCTGGGCTGATTTGATTCAAAGGTAGGAGCCAGAATCTTCTGGGTCTCTCATGTGGGTACAGAGCCCAAGGCCCTGGGCCATCCTTTGCTGATTTCCAGTCAGTAAGCAGGAGCTGGGCCCATGTGGGATGCTGGTGCTGCAGGTGGAGCACTAGCATGCTACTCCACTGTGCTGGTCCCTAGAACGGTGCTGTTTAAAGTGTTGGTTATTGAACTTTTTGCAGTCTGTGGCAAGGTGAAGAAGTCTTTCAATATGCTACTTTTACTTTCTTCATTTAGAACTTCCTGCTTTCAGAAAATGTTAACTGAACAGTATGCCTCATGATATACTTTATATGCAGCATCATATAACATATTAGAGCCAGGAATAACTGATGCGCGGTGGTTTATGGAATTCATTCTAGGTTCTACTCTCCTTTGTACTCAAGTACTCATCCTTGATTACATTGTTATTCCTACCACCCAGATTTTCCTAGAATTATGCTGTTGTTTTTACATTACCTGGAATAATCGGCAGTTTTTCTTTTGAGACTTGACGTTTTCTAAGACAATTTGCTTCTCTTTGGTCCAGTAATGTGTTTCATAGTTACTTGATAATGTGTCTAAAAGTTGACCACTGTGTCTGTCTTATTTCACAATACAGTTGTACTTTGCATCTCTTGGTAAAATTGCTGTTATATGATCAAATGATTATTTCAGAATTACATGTTCTGATTGACTTGGCCAGTGTATTTCTGAATTGTTTCAGCCACTGAGTACTCGGACATTAATTTCCTGATACATTCATATCACCATGTATTCAATGACTTATTTAAAAAAAAAAAGATTAAATTGTAACTTTAAGATTATAAATGCTTTTAATGGTAGTGACAGCTGGAGTCTGCCTTTTGGATTTAATTATGTTAATTAGCATTCATTACAACTCACACATATATAACAAAGAGTTTTCTTTTGGCTGGCTAGGTTTTTGATTTGAAGGGTTCACTGAGGAATCGAAATGTGAAGACTGACACTGGGAAAGAGAGTTGTGATGTGGTTTTGCTGGATGAAAATCTCTTAAAGATGGTTCGAGACAACCCTCTGTATATTCGTTCTCATTCCAAAGCTGTGCTGAGAACCTCAATCCATAGCGACTCCCATTTCCTCTCTAGCCACCTCATTATAGATTATTCTTTGCTGGTTGGGCGAGATGATACTACCAATGAATTGGTAGTTGGAATTATAGGTAAGTCATCAAGTATATCCTATAATACCTTTCTATTGAAACTAGAGTACAACTTTAAAGGTCCTGTTAGACCTGATTAATAACTTTGAATACTTTGAAATATTTTGATATGAAATTTGAAAAATATTAGTTTTCATTTTAGTTCCTTCTATTAATTTTTCCTATCTTCATTATCTTTCTATTTTCATTATCTTTACCCAAAATTTGTGAATTCACAAAGTTATTTATAGAGTGGTGGCATAGTGGCTAAAGTCCACGCCTTGAACGTGCTGAGATCCCATATGCACACTGGTTCTAATGCTGGCAGCTCCTCTTCCCATCTAGCTCCCTGCTTGTGGCCTGGTAAAGCAGTCAAGGATGGCCCAAAGCCTTGAGACCCTGCACCCGTACGGGAGACCCAGAAGATGCTCTGGGCTCCTGGCTTCGGATCGGTGTAGCGCTGGCCGTTGTGGTCACTTGGGGAGTGAATCATAGGATGGAAGATCTTCCCCCCCCCCTGTGTATTTGACTTTGCAATAAAAATAAATAAATCTTTGAAAAAAAAAGTTATTTATAAATAAGGCCCTGTATCATGGTTGTAGGATCAAGTGAACTAAACAGGTAACTCCTAACACATGACGCTGTCAGCATTCAGTGAAAGTTTCACAGATTCAATGATCATTGCTGTTGTCATTTACTTATATTTATCTATATAGCTTTCTAACGATTTCCCCTCCTATCCTTTCTTAGATTATATTCGAACATTTACATGGGACAAAAAGCTTGAAATGGTTGTAAAATCAACAGGAATTTTGGGAGGACAAGGTAACAAGACATTTCAGTTTGTTTAAAATTTAAACTTTTCTCAAACATACCATTGTTAAAGTTTAAAAGTAAGTTAAGTTAAGTGTGGTTATTTTTTACTTCATCATCATTTCCAAATGACCAAATAATAGGAGAGTTGTGTAGATGAGGAAGTACTTTAATTTTGTGTTAAAGGACCAGAACTTTTTAAATAAAAGAGAAGGGAAAAAAAATCCAGAGCTTTTGATGAAGAGGTTATCTTTAATTAACACTTGGAATTCTCTAATTCTGTAAGCACCGCTAGTCTCATTTATACTTTAAGATTGCTCTCATATCTAGGCAAGAATTGCTAGTCTTTTAAAACTAAAACTTGTATTGGGAGAAGCCTTGTCCCCTGGCATGTGGTCCAGAGGATAACCTGACTTGTTCACGGAAACTGCACAGGTGCATGTGTCTTTAATTGCGGAGTTTCTGAAAAGAACAGGTAGCTGAAGTCTATTGCCTAATCAATTGTTTAACAAGTCTGTTTGCTCCTCCTTTCATAATTATAGGTAAAATGCCAACTGTAGTCTCTCCAGAGCTGTATAGAACTCGGTTTTGTGAAGCAATGGACAAATATTTCTTGATGGTTCCAGACCACTGGACTGGCTTGGATCTGAATTGCTGAAATCAAGCACATAATTTGAAATGAACTATAGAAGATATGGGACAAGGATCAAAAATAAGCTACACATTATATTTTACCATCACATTCCCCACTGTGTGTAAAGCCTTCCAGATGGTCCACAACTGAAGGGTAAAACCTCCATGGACTTAGACTGAAAGTTGCTGGAACACAGGAACATTCAGTGGACCACGGTCAGAGACGACTAGATAAACTTCTGATGTCATGTTTGCTGACACTGTCTTGGCATCGCATTTGACATGTTCTTTACTTAGAAAACATTTGTAGAGCTGCTGAAATGTGCTTTATTTTTAAATGTTGTATTTAGTGTTGCTTATCAATCTCTGAGACCTTTAGAAAAATTCTGGTTTATTCCGTTAATTATCAGTTAAGCAAGTTGGCACTTGCTATTTTGTTGAAAAATTGACTTACAGTGGGACTTCTGTAGTTCTGTCGTATTCTGTGTCTTCTCTGTTTGCTTTGTTTACGAGTTTGTTTTTAAAATTCTACCTTCTCTGTGACAAGAGGATACAGAGGGTAAGCCTTTTTGTGGAGCTACTTTTACTGCTTGCTTAAAATATCTGTGTAATTAGTGTTAACTGTACATATATCTACGTACACGCATTCAGATTCTTCTCCACACTGTCCTTCCCAGTTCAGGAAAACATTAATCATTAGTAAATGAGCCTGTAGTCACCAACTCCCTAAAGGAAGAATAATTAATGAAGGATTTTCCTATGAGAAAATAGTCCCAGTCCAAGAAATTGAGTAAGAAGGAAACAGTGATTACTTTTTTAATAGAAGTTGAATGTCTCTTTTAAAATAACCAGCAATTTAAGTAGCATTTATAATACTGAGGTTTCCAATGTGGACATTTTTGTTTTCTAACTTTCTATATACAGGCTAGTTCTGGTATTAGGAAATGTTGAGGATAGTCATTCTTAGTAAAGAACTTCCTGTCAGCATTTTGTTTTAAAATTACCAGAAGTACTGAAATCAGCTTTACAGTATTTCCTTTTTCTATAATAAAGCTAGTTTAGAGATTTTTAAAGTTGTTAAGGGGTGTACTCTTTTCAGATTTTGTGTAAGATGCTATTGCACATTTATTTTCACATAATATGAGAAAGAAATGTGGCTATATTAAGTTACACAAAGTCTAATAAAAGTACATGAAATAGGAATTTTTTAGAAAGTTTACTTTAAATGATGAAAGCAGTAGCATGGTATTTGGTGCTTATTAAAACATGATTTGTTTGGAACTGGAAACGGTTGACCAAGACTTCGGACTGATTTCATGAGAAGCTTGCCTCTCACTGCTCTTGTTTTAATCATATGTATGTGCCTTTTGTTTAATCATATGTATGTGCCTTTTGTTTTGACATGAAAGACTTGTAAAGGAGTTACACAGAATGAGAGCTATGTGGGTCATTATTAACATCTTTGTGTCCAGGAAGACTTGTCTGATTTGAAATGCCAACACTGTTTCATCTCTTGATTTTCTTTCTAGTTAGGATTACTTATCATATCCATTTCTGTGACCCCGTTGTGTGGAATACTTCCACCTATCTATAATCACATTGATTCCTCATTTTGGTTTCAGTAACATGTACACAGCTGGAATACTCTTTGGAAATATCTCCTGACAATGATATGGCATGTTAATTTGGGGGCCTTTTTTGTCCATAACTTGAAAAACTGTGTTTTTAAATACTGCTACCTCTTAGGTAATTGAGTGGTTCAAAAAATTCCAATGAAGCAAAAGTTGCTATTTTGTAATAGTGACTTTTCATTTTAAATTGATGTCTGGCTATATTAGTGAAAGAGAAGTATAGAATTTAATTTTTTTGAGGGGTGAAACTGTATGCCTGGCAGCTTGCTGCTTGTGTTTAGGACACTACTGTGTCTATGTGGCATTTCAAGTACTGTGCTATTCAGTGTTAAGTCATTAATGCTGAGAAGTTAGAAATGAGGAAAAAATCTTACTCTTTTTTTTTCTTAAAATACAACATGAATGCTGAGGATAATTGATAACCAGTATGAAAAAATTGTCAACATAATGTTTTGTTTGAAAATCTTGTTCATACATGTTGAAACTTTGTAATTCCATTAGAGCTTAGTAAAAAAAGATTCACTTTTTTCTTATCCTACTCTAAGAAAAAATATGGAAGAAACTGTTAGAAACCCTTTTATAGCCTATTGAAAATTTTAAATTTATATTCAAAATTTCTTATCAAATAAATGTCTTACCCTGTAATTTTTTTTCCCTTGATTCAGCAGTGAGTGGTTTTCTAACTTTGGCTTTTATTGAGTCTTACAAATAGTAGGGTCATATTGGCATCAGCTTTTATGATGGCTTTATGGCCGTCCGCTTTTTGACAGTGCACCTATAAACAGTGGGCTTGTATAAAACTGTCAAGGAAAGTAACCTACCTATAACAAAATTTACTTAGCTTGAAGAGTCAAAACTGTTGTGAATGAGCCTGATGGTGAAATGATCAGACCGTTCATTAATCCTCAAGTGTTAACATACTTATGCAGTATTCAAACTATGTAGTGCAATGCCTTTTGTTTGTCTTTGTCGCACAGGTGCAGTGCATTTTAGGAAAAATTAAAATTAGAATCATGAGCAGTTTGCTTTGTTTAAGTAATACTGCTATGTCAGTTTTGTAAAGAATGTACATTATGTCTATCAATGGGTTGAATTTTTAGCCCAAGAAAAGACATTGTAAATCATAATAACTTTTAATTTAATATGAAAAACAAAACTAACAATAATGGAAGTACTTAATGTATTATGTTGTATATATTTCTCTACTTTGCTTTCAGCTGTTTTATATGACTGACATGTTATTTAAAAGATAACTGCCTTGACATTTTAGAGACTTGTACTGTAAATAAAGATGACTTAAAATAAACAGGCTGTACTTGCTACATTTGAAATGAACAGTAGAGATGGATCTTGAGGGTTAGTCTGGTCTCTTACATATAGTGTTACTTGTTTATGTTCTTCCTCTTTGTTTTCTGATTGGAGAACTCAAGTGTTTCATTTGAAACCCTGGTTCCTATTGGTCAATAGCAAGCAGGGTGGTATTGGCATTTCCATTCTTCTGTGCTCAGTGAAGTTCATCCCCTTTCACTTGGGAATGGCTGAGTTAATAGATCATCAAAGTAGTCTCAACTAGAACATTCTCTTCTGGCTCAGAGGGAGGACATCTTATGCTGCCTGAACCTGAACTAACTCCAAGCTATGAATGTGAAGCCATGAATTCTGGCTTCTGTCTGCATTCATCTGAGCTAAGTAGAGAATACCTGGGTTGGTGAGGCAGCTCTAGTGTGACTCCAGAATACCTGGCCCGGGCTTTGTAAGGGAAGGAGGAGAGTCACAGACTGGTGAGCGTGATCGGTACCCCTGGCTTACTTTGCTGCCTCTTACTTTTCTCTTGTATAGTGGAAGAAATGGATGTTAGGAAGGAGGCACCATGAGCTAGTTCTCCAGTGCCCACTCACCCATGGTCTCCTGTGTCAAAAATTATCTTTTAAAAACTCTCAGAGCTAATGCTTAAGGAAACTAATGTGGTTTTTTAAATATATATTTTACTGTGGCAAAAATACATTAAGTTTTCTATTTTAATCCTTTAAAAAGTTTTCTTATATTCTTCAGCGAGAAATTTTCCATTGACTAGATCGTTCTCCACATGCCCACGATTGCCAGGGTTGAGCCAGGCTGTATCCGGAAGTCAGAGCAGACCGGATCTCCCACTGGTGGCATGTGCTCAGTTATTTGAACCATCGCTTGCTGTTTCCCTAGGGTGCAGATAAGCAAGATGGGAGAGCTGGAAGGGCACCTTGAAAGCAAATCTGAGTATTCCAAACAAGTGTTTTAACTGGTATGCCAGTCCTAATCATTGTTCAAGTAGTGTTAAATATGAGGGAACTTAATAAAATTCATGGAAAATATGTTATTTAAAAAACCTGTAAGCATAATTTCAAAATTTTTACATTGATATAAACTTAGTTTTTAATGGCATTTTCCCACAAATATTATGAGGTACCTTTGGTATTCATTTTATTACGTAACAGATCTTCAGAACTCTGTCCATTTGTGGAGCAAAACAACTTCTTTCCCATATTCCCAATGTCATTTTTATATCTGTGAATTGGGCTAGTTAAGGTAACTTATGTAAATGGAATAATACAATATTTATGTTTTGATGAGTAGATGATTTGACTTAAGTGTAATTCCCCAAGGAGGTTTTCCTAGCCCATCATATGTAATATGACTGGGTAATGGTTGCCCAGATAACTGACAAAACAGAATTTTGTAGTATGTCAGTGAGGGTGTTTCTAGAAGCAAGAAGCATTTCCTCTATAAACTGAGTTAAAGAAGATCTGTTTCACCAACATAGGTAGCAAGACTAGAACAAAAAGGTTCAGGAAGATTGCATTCTCTTCCTCCCCTCTGAGCTGAGACATCCAAAAATCTCCTGTCCTCAGGCTGCCGAGCTCCCAGTTTTCAGGCTTATGCACACCGGAGTGGCTTCCCTAGTTCAAGCCTTGGGACTCAGACTTGGTAAAATTCATGACACTGGGTTTTGTGGTTCTGCAATTTGAAAACAACACTCAGGAGTCTTGTTTCTTTCGTGATCGTATAACACAATTCTCACAGTAAATGTCTTCCTTTATACCTGTATATCCTATGGAGAGATCACCTTATCTATCTATGATATCTAATCCATGTCAGTTGCTTTGCCTATCCTTAGGAATCCTAATGAGTGTGAGATCATTCACTGTGGTCTCAATTTGCATGTATTTGGTGATATTGAATATCTTTTGGTAAGTTTAATGATTATTTGTAAGCTGTTTCTGGAGAAATGTCTGTTCAGTTTCTTTACTGTTTTTAAAATCAGGTTATAATGAGTTCTTTTGTTGGTTGAATTGTAGATGTTCTGTATGTATTATAATACTAAGGTTTGTCAGATATTTAGTTTGCAGATATTTTCCACTCTGTCGCTAGTTTATTCACTCTGTTGATTGTGACTTTTGATACACAAAATTTTTATGTTTGATGTAGTTCTGTTTGTCTGTTTTTGGTGTCATGTTTTAAGAAATTACCACCTGGCTGTTGCCATGGTGTGGGTAAAACTCTGTGCTGGCATACCTTGTGGGCACCAGTTCAACTCCTGGCTGCCCCTTTTCCCATCCAGCTATCTTCCTGATAGTGTCCAGGAAAGCAGTGCAGTATGACCCAAGTGTTTGGCCATAAGAGCTCTGCAGGAAGCTCCAGGCTCCTAACTCTTAGCTTTTGGCTTTGAAACAGCTCAGCTAAATCAGTAGATGGAAAATTCCATCTCTCCTTCCTTATTTTCTATCATTTTAAAATAATACATCTTTTTTTTTTTAAAAAAAAGGAATGTTAAACAATAAAAAAATCACTGCCAAATCCAATGTCTTTTCCTATTTTATTCTAAAGTCCTGTAGTTTTGGATTTTAAGACTTTAGTCCATTTTGAGTTATTTTGGTAAATGGTAAGAACAAAAGGGTCTAACTTCACTGTGTGTGTGTGTGTATATGAATATATAGTTTTTTGGTGTGTGAAAATCTAGTTTTCCTAATTCCTTGTTAAAGACACATTTCAGTAAGTGGGCTTTCCATTCCATTTGGAGATCGCTTGACAGTATGTGGTTGGGTTTATTTATGCACTCTGTTCTGTTGATTTGTCTTCATGCCAGTAACACGTTGTTGTTTTGGACTACCGTTATTTTGTAATGTATTCCAATTTTATTTATTTATTTATTTTCAAAATTGTTTGACCTTTAAAGTTCTCTTGAGATCCGTATGAATTTAACAGTGATTTTTTTTTCAGTTTCTACAGTAGATGCTTTGGGAATCTGGTAGGGATTGTGTCACAGCCATCAATTGCTTTGGGTATTAGCGATATTTTTTCAAAACTAATTTTTAAAAAAGTTTTTATTTTATGTGAAAAGTAAGAGAAAGATAAATGTTCCATTTGCTAGAGAGATAGAGATATCTTTGATGTCTTTGATCTTCTGGTTCATTCCCCATTCTCCAAAGGGCAACAGTGTTTGGCACTGGGCCAGGCTAAAGCCAGGAGCCAGGAAGTTCAATTGGATCTCTCAGGTAGATACTAGGCCTCCGGCACATGGACTGTTTTCTACTGCTCCCCCAGGATTGTTAGCAAGGAGCTGATGTGGATGTGGAGCAGCCGGGATTCTAGCCAGTGCTAGTATGGGATGACAGTGTTGCAAGTGGTACGGTATCAGCATCAACATCTTCACAATATTAAGTCATGTGATCTCTGAACTTGGGATGTCTTTCTAGTTATTTATACCTTTTTACCATTCTTTCAACAATATTTTATAGTTTTTGTTTTATAAGTTTGTCACCTTCATGGATAATTCCTAAGTATTTAATATATTTTTTTGAAATTACAGTAAATGAAATTATTTTAATTTCCTTCTCAAATTGTTGTTAATGTATAGAATTGCATTTTTTGTGTGTGTTGATTTTTGTATTTGATTACTGAATGCACCAAATCGTTCTAATAATTTCTTTGTGGTATCTTTGGAATTGTCTGCATGAAAAAATCATGCCATCTACAAATAGAATTTTTGCTATTTTTTTCTCCATTTGGAGGACTTACTTCTTTTCTAATTTCTCTGGTTAGTACTTGTAATAACATGTTAAACAGAGCTGGCTGTAACAAGCATTCCTGACTTCTCTCTGATCTAGAGGAAAAGTTCTCAGCTTTTCCACATTGTGTATGATTTCAGCTTTGGCCTTTTCATCAACAGTCTTTATAATGTTGAAGTAATTTCCTTCTGTTTCTATTGAGTATTTTTGAAACCATAAAAGGATATTGACTCTGACCAAATACTTTTTCTACATCAAAGATGATTGTGCTGTTTTTGCCTTTTCTTCTACTAATGTATAATGTTACTTTGGTTTTTCTATGATGTCATCCATGAATTCTAGGAGTAAATTTTACTTAATCTTGGTGTTTAATCCATTTATTATGCTGTTTAATTCTGTTTGCTAATGTCTCATTGAGGATTTTTGCATCAGTGTTTATCAAGTATGCTATTTTGAAGTTTTCTCATGGTGTCTTTGGCTTTAGTATAGTACCACTCTCAAAGAATGACCTTGCAAATGTTTCTTCCTTTTCAGTTTTTTGAAAAAGTTTTTGAATAATTTGTGTTAATTTTTTTAGATTATTACTAAAATTCTTTAGTGAGACCATCTGGTCCTAGCTCTGTTGTTTTTGAGAGGTTTTGAATTACTGATTTAATTACCTTGTGACTAGTTTGTTCATGTTTTCTGTTTCTTCATGATTCAGTTGTGGCAGGTCAAATTTATGCATTTTTTCTAGGTTATCCAGTTTGTTGATCTGTTGATGTTGATCTCTTAAAATCCTTTGCCGTTTGTGTCTCAGTAACTGCTCTCTGGAGATTCAGGGTGAGGAATTGAGCTTTGAGGCTTCCTTTTAGAATGAAGTATTGTTATCTTCATCTTCTTACCTTGCAGTAAGTACTATTTTACCGGTAAAGAAAGAAGGGAACTTTAATTCAGGAAGAAATCAGTTGCCCTGTTTTACACAAGATCTAATATCTGTGAATGCCTTTGCGATCTCTTACCACTTCAATCAAGTTACCATCTTTACTTTAATCCCTGATGACACAGCCTGGTTTGCCATGGTTGATATGTCCTCCACTTTGTGCTCAATGCCATTGACTCACAATTCCCATGTGCATTCAAATTTAAGGAGAGACAGGTTAACATGCACTTCAGGCTTTCAGGGATATTGTTAGTCCACTTTGATATTTTCCCAGGTTTTCAAAGTCAATTCTGAAACATTTACCTAAGCTTCTCTTTCTCTCTTTCTCTTTCTCTCTTTCTCTCTCCTCTCTATATCTGTATCTACATTTATCTGTATCATTTTATATGTAGAGATAAATGTGTATCTATATAAATAGATACAGATATATCTTATTACATAGATGTATCTATATATATAGAAAGATTTATTGGTAAGGCAGTTTTACAGAGAGAGAGAGAGAAAGAGGCAAGAAGTCGTCCATCTGTTGGTTCACTCTCCAAATGGTTACAATGGTTGGAGCTAAGCTGATTCGAAGCTAGGAGCCAGGAGCTACTTCCAGTCTCCCACGCAGGTGCAGGCTCCCAAGGGTTTGGGTCATCCTCTGCTGCTTTCCCATGCCATAAGCAGGAAGCTGGATGGGAAGTGGAGCAGCTACAACAAGAACCAGTGCTATATAGGATACTGGCAGTTGTAGACAGAGGATTAGCCAGGTAAGCTATTGTGCCAGCTCAAGTCTCTACTGTCATTGTCCAATATAATGATAACTTCCTACTTGGCAACCCAATCAAATAGGGTGCTTTTCTAGATTTTGTTACTTTGTTGATGGCATTAGTTTACTGAGGTTGTAAAACTTCAAGGACCAATCCTCGGTCTTACCCACTTAGCCCATAAAGTACCTCAGGACTCGTTAAAAACAAAAATAAAAAATCCAAAATGAAAAAGCCAGGAATTTTTCCAAACATGCATTTGATCAGGTTTATACATTTCTGTTCCAAAGATGAAGAAGGTTTTGTGACATTACACAGGCAGTTGACCATGGCCACCTTGAGAGATCCCGTTTTCTTGCCTTTGCCTAACTTTTGTGCTCCCTCCTTTCTGATGCAACTACAGACCATTTTACTTAGCTTTCTGAGGCATTGACAGCCTTGGAACAACAACCATTGTTGTCCTTATCCCTAGCTCTCACCCTACCCACTTTTGACAATTCTTAAACTGCTGTGAAAGCAATGGGGTTTCTGTGGCTGTTCTAGGATAACTTTTTGACTGTAGCATAGTTCTCGCTTTGTTTGGATTGCATAACATTGGGCATGTCTCTGTGCTATAGTCTTTGTTGCCATCCTGATTGACAACAGCAGTATCCTTGAATTGTCCCTTCCATCTCTGTGTTCTTGATACTGCCCATCTTTGTTTCAATTCCGTAAAGACCCCCACATCTTTCTACTAGATGATAGCCTAACTATAATAGGCTCTAATAACCAACCTTCCCATTGTCTCGTACTTGTGTCTTAATCTAAACTCAGCTACTCCATTGTGTTTCTCTGACAACAGATTTCTACTTCATTCTGTGTGAATATGACAGTGAATTCTCTCTCTCTTTTTTTTTTTAGATTTATTTGTTTTTATTTGTTTTTTAATGTAAAGTCAGATATAGAGAGGAGGAGAGGAAGAACTGTCTGATGATTCACTCCCCAAGTGACCACAATGGCTGGTGCAGTGCTGATCTGAAGCCAGGAGTCAGGAATTTCCTCCAGATCTCCCACGCGGGTACGGAGTCCCAAGGCTTTGGGCCATCATCGACTGCTTTCCCAGGCCACAGGCAGGGAGCCGGATGGGAAGTGGAGCTGCTGGGATTAGAACCAGCTTGGATATGGGATCCCAGCGTGTTCAAGGTGAGTATTTTAGTCACTAGGCCACTGTGTCAGGCCCGACAATGAATTCTCAATCGTGTGGATGTTGTGGACTTCCTTGAGTAATGCACTTATCCTTACTCTTTGGCTTTTATTGGTGAAACTTCCAGAGAAAGATA